CGAGGACTATGGAGACTGACTGTGTGACTGTGGAAACTGGACATTATATCGAGTATACACAGGCAGTGTGCTGCGCAAGAAGGGGCACGGAACCATCCAGGTCCCTGGCCTGCAGGGTCCCTGTGTTGTGGTTGTTATGAACAAGTGCACACGGACTACAGAAGTCCTGTGGAGACAAAGGGATGGCGTGGCTGTTCTCTGAGAGAGTGAGAGGGGGCGCTCTCACCCCAGCCCCTGCCTGGACAGGCTTTTATTGCTTCCCTGGGTACACTACATGGAGGACGGTCCTCACTGACTGTGCACAGGTTCGCTGCAGGTGATTGCCTTTTACAGATGACAAAGGAAGGAATGTTGCTGATTACTTCAAAGAGAAGGATGTTACAGATCAGGGGGAAAAGTGGTTGAACTGGTTACAGTCCCTACTTGGGAGGTTTAGCACAGACTTTAGGAAGCTACAGTAAGCACTTGCTGCCTCAACCCAGGCTGAGGGAGTTTTAGCAAAAGCAAGCCTCACAGCAGTCTGGGCACAAGGCAGGCCTGATTGCCCACTGCAGAACCTCTCCGTGGGCGTGGTCCTGCACGCCACTCTCTTCCCACTGGTTTTCCATGCGGAGGCTGAGCTACATTTGCACACCACGAGAAACGGTTCCCTACACTGAACCCCTCACCAGTCGAGAGGAGATCCGGGACCAGATCCTCACAGGTGCCTTCCTCTCACACTTAGTGCATCTGTGCACCGTGTCCGTAGCAAACAGCCAATCACTGCACTTTTAGGAGACTCGGGATCCTTAGAAAGTCTTCTCGTCACACCCAGGTGCTTGAATCCCATAGGGCGGCAATCATCCAATGAATGGGCTTGACCACAGTTTCCCACCACACCCGGTTTCAGGAGTCCCCCTCGGTGCTCAGTACCCGGGAGTTCAGCTAGGGCCCTTTATCACACGCTGTCTCAGTGCACACTGGGGTTGCACATCAAGTGGGTCTCACTTTACACCAACCCAGAGCCCTTCACGGGAAGCACTTTCTTTTGAGGAATGTCGGGTGAAACTCTCCTTTGGTGGGGAAACTCCTCTTCACGATTACGGAAAATTCCTCTGACTCCTCTCTGTGCTCCCAGCCCCCGTGGCCAGCTGATGGCTACACAAGGGTCCCTCATTCACTGTTGCATAGGCGTCACCCTTCAGGCCGATGGCTGTCTGTCTCAGGCCCCACTGATCCGTCATGTGCCTGAGGACCCTCCCCTGGAATTCAGTGCAAGTCTCCTCGCCTAGGGATGCGTGGAAATAACATCCCTCACCTCGGGATGACGGGACAGTTCTTTTAATAAGGGGTTTTTAAAAGATGTTATGTATTTATTTTTTAGAGAGGGAAGGGAGGGAGATAGAGAGAGAGAAACATCAACGTGCCGTTGCTGGGGGCCATGGCCTGCAACCCAGGCATGTGCCCTGACTGGGAATCGAACCTGCGACACTTTGGTTCGTAGCCCGCGCTCAATCCACTGAGCTGTGCCAGCCAGGGCTTAAGGGACAGTTCTTTATGTTGATTCTTGCACAGGCAACTGGCCGCAGCCTGTGAATCCAAGGGGACATTGTTTTTCTTCTCCCGCCCAGCCTCTCACCTTCAGCCCATGCCTTGTGAAGTGACAACACTCTTTCTAACTGGTCCTGTTAACCCTTGGCTGAAAAAGGAAATTTTCCTACATGGTTGACGTTTTGAGTGTAAGTCTGGAGTTTTTGCCCAGCGGGAACAAATAAAAAGACAAACCGTGGGTGTTTCAGTTGTCACAGCGGGGGCTCCTACCTCGCCACCAGCTTTCATGTCCCCAAATGTGCAAACTGCCTGAAAGACCAAGGTAATTGAAAGTTGTGCATATACCTCTGGTCTCTCGGATATTAACAGAAATTGCCTCCTGCTGTGGTTGCTTTCTGGCTCAGTGTTCGGAATGAGAAGCAGATCATTGCTTTCCTAGCACAAGTAGTGAATACACTTTAACTGGCTCATCAAGGAGGAAAAATCTCAGCGGGCTGGTCCATAATAGGCCTGTGGGCACTCAGTTCAGCTAATCCTATACAAGAATGGCCCAATCTCTCTCTCTCTCTCCCCCCTGTTCTTTTTTTTAAAGATTTTATTTATTTATTTTTAGAGAGGGAAGGGAGGGAGAAAGAGAGAGAGAAACATCAGTGTGCGGTTGCTGGGGGCTGTGGCCTGCAACCCAGGCATGTACCCTGACTGGGAATCGAACCTGTGATGCTTTGGTTCGCAGCCCACACTCAATCCACTGAGCTACGCCAGCCAGGGCTCTCCCCTCTTCTTTTCATTTGTCTTCTCTTGCCTCACCTCTCTTCCTCTCTCTTTCCTACTTCACACAGAGAGAGAGAGAGTAGTGGAATGCACACTTCATCTTATATCCAAAGTATGTAACATCTTTGTTAATTTTCAAGTTTATGATGACCACCTCCACTAGCTGCTACACTTGTCTTACATATAATCCAAATGCTTATGGTGGGTTAGTGGGTGTGCAAGTTTGTGGCTCTAAGAAATTTTGCTGGGCGTAGAAAGTATAGAACCAATAATAAATTGCGGGGTTCAAATTTCTTTATTAATACACATCTTTATCTTAACCAAAAGCAAAAATGATTGACAACTTTATGTGCAGACACCCAATAAGCTGCTGCAGGAGATGCTGGGTAAGCCGGCTGCCCAGTGGAGAGGGGAGCCTCACTCAGATGAGCCACTAGTCTAGCCAGTCCCTCGGTAGGGTTCCAGGGGCCACCTGTCAGATGTTCCTGCCTGCTACTCTGCACTCCCACACACCCCACCTGAACACCAAGAACCTTCTCTCTGTTTCAAGGGGACTACAAGTGCCTTGCACTGGGGAGGGCGGGGAGGAAGGTTGTGCACCGAGCTGCTGGGATGGGGCTCACTGGGTCTCAGGGGAATGACAGCAGCACGTCTGTCGGTCCGTCATCAGGAAATATGCGCCACATCACAGGAAGACACTGGCCAGCACAGTCAGGAGACCTTCTGAAGCAGCTCCTCTGCCCAGGTGACTTACAGGGTCCACTTCCATTGTGAGCGGTGATGTGGGGGGTGTGGCTTGGCTCCCCTGTCTCTCAGAAGCTAGTGAAGGTTCATGTACCAGCCAACCCCCTCTTCTCCCTCTGTCCCTCCCCTCACCACGGTCCGGACGACTTTAATCTGAGCACTTTCCGCCTTCTCCCCCCAGGCGCCGCCCCGTCCTCACCAGGTGGCCCCCACCTGGCCTGAGGCAAAGGGAAGGGCAGCTGGGAAAGTCTCGCACCCCCTCAATTCTCTCTGCAATCAATTTCCACGGCAGAAAGAGTCCTTGTTTTTCTCAAAGCCCTCTCCTTAGCCATTGAAGACCTTATTTTGGAAGTCTCAAATACTTTTAAAGATATAACGTTGGAAGTTACTTTCTCCTTGCAGACCCACTGTAACAAACGCAATTCTCTCGTACACAGTTGTGAGAGTCTCTGTCTAACTAGAGGAAAGGTCAAGTATACGAATGTTCAGAAGAGAACAAAAAGAAAGCATGCAATGACCTATTTCAAGGGAGCCTCTTTCTACAACCTCCTTCACGGCTCGCCTCCTTCTCCAACAGCTGGTCGTTAATCCCCTACTTCTCCTTCACTGTCTCTGTGGAACTTCTTTCTCAGACTAGCGCTGTCAAACCTGCTGGCGGGTTTCCAGGCATCCTTCTCCCACAGCATTTCGTGATGCCCACCGTGGCCTCTGCCTCAGTCCGGAAGGGAGTGGCGGTGCCTAAGCAGTGGACACCGACCTCCAGACTAGCTTACGGCTCAAAAGAGACTGAGCTGTCTCCTCCCACATAAATTACTGGTTCGACTCTTTGTTCTGAGAGTTGCATCTGGCCTGGCATTTTCAAATCTATCTCCCCCACCCAGGGTATAAGTCAGCTCCATAGTAAACTCTAAAAAACATCGTTGGCCTCAGTTAAACATTCCTGAATGTTATTGTTTTCAATCAGTTTGACCCTACCTCCTTGTAACTTCCACCCATTATCTCTGAAATGTCACTTGAGGGACAATTTGGGATGTAAAGCTTGAGATGGGGTGAGACCTGGGTATAGCCATCGTGGAAAACGGTATGGAGGTTCCCCCCCAAAATCATAAACAAAACTACCATGTGACCCAGCAGTCCCCCATCGGTGGGGTTGTATCCAAAGGAATTGAAATCAGAAGCTCGGAGAGGTATCTGCCCTCCCACGGCCATTGCAGGGCTAGTCCCAACAGCCAAGACACAGGAGCACCCCAGGAGTTCCACCACGGACAAACGGCTGAGGGGATGTGGTACAGATGCACACCGGAACGCTATGCAGCCTTTACAAAAGGGGGAAAACCCTGGCATTTGTGACAATATGGGTAGACTAGGAGGACATTGTGCTAAGTGAAATAATCCAGACCAAAAAAAGACATACTGTCTGATCTCACTTATATGTGGAACCTGAGAGAGTCAAGCTCATAGAAGCAGAAACGAGAACGGTGGTTGCCAGGGGCCACGGAGAGGCAGCAACGGGGACATGACGGTCGAGGGTGCCGAGTGTCAGTGACGTAAGGTGAGTCAGTTCCCGAGACCCCCCCGACGGCACGGCTCCAGCCACGGGCCAGCGTAGCGCCTCTGGCTAGCAACACTGTCATGGATGCTTAGGATTTTCTAAGACGAAAGAAAGATCTTACACTGTATTCTTACAATAATAATAATAATAATAATAATAATAATAATGGGAGTGGGAGGAAACTATGGGAAATGATGGGTCTATTTATTGCCTTGATGGGAGTATACTTCTCCTCCAACTCATCGAGTTGTAGTATATATGACATATGCACAGCTTTTTAATGTCAATCATGCTCAATAAAGTAGTTTAAAAAATAAAAATATATTGTAAAAGAGCACATTAACCACTCTTCATGGATTCTTTAAAATTAAACATAACGCAAATCAAAACATTGCAAAGGAGAGCATCTTTAAGGAGTACTTTAATCATTGTCATGTTAACGAAAGCTTTGCAGAAAGGTATTTATCAGTATCAGAAAAATACAGAGATATTATTTGTATATGAAAGCATATTTTAAGTTCCACGTAAGCCCATGCATTTCATCTCCCACAGCTGTTTTCGTTTTGTTTTGTTTTGATGAAGAATGAATGAGGAGTAAACTGGAGGCTAGCGCTTCAAGTCGATCTACCTCCACGGGCCCTGAAGAGTCTAGCGCGCATCCACATCGGAGAGAAACGTTCTCTCTAAGGAGCAATCACCCCGTGGCTCAGCCCAGAACTGGCGCTTCCCACCAAAGAAAAGGGGGCGGGGCAACCTGGAGTGCAGGTCTTGGGTGTGACCTGCACTAAAAAAAAGCCCCCAAAACAAGACTGAATTATGTGAGTCGTCAGCAAAGAGGCAGAAGGTGCCCGTAACTAGGACATGATGCATTCGGCTCCCTCCGACGCGTCGGTGTTTCCTTCCCCCGACAAGCCTGGGGAGCCCTGCCCGCTGTGCCGGCGCCAACAGCGTGGCGCACGCACGAGTCCCCTTCCCGGGATGGAATCGTTGTAACGGTCTTTCTCCATTCGAGGTCCCCTCTGTACTCGGGTTTTACTGAGCGGGCTGCTTCTCTTAACGTCTCTGTTCCCTAGTCCAGCTGCAGAGGGTATTCTGGCCGCTGGGCGGGGCCACCCAGACTTAAAGGGAGCATCTGAGTTTCTCCGGCCTAACCCTCTAATTTTCCGACGAAAAGGCCCAAACCCAGAGCAGTGAGCGGTTTCTCCAAGAACAGAGTTAACTCAGGCAGGGGTTCATGAAAACTCTTCAACCTGACTGATTTTATTTTATTGTATTTTTTAAGGAAAAAGAGTATCTATCTGATGAAGGTCTGGCTTCTGCGGGCAGCTGGGGGCTGAGGGCGCAGGGGCCCTGGGGGGAAGGAGAAAGAGTGCGCCCCCTGCTGGGGATGTTGAAGCGCTCAGTTGTGGGGTGTTCCCACGGGCCACAGCCTCTGCTGGATTCTGAGCAAGCCCCGGGCGGCCGGGAGCCTACTGGGCGCCCCCCTCACAAGGCTCAATGCTGGTGACCAAGACGTTCTGCCCTTGACACCTCAGGGCGCCGGCCTCACACTCCGTCATAGTGCGCTGCTCGCCGTTCACCTCCACGCAGACGCTGATGCCTTGCTCCTCGCACTCCGAGGCCTCTCTGCAGACACAGTTGCTGCCCTGGTCTGCAAAGATACGAGAGAGGGGCTTACTGGCAAGAGGTGCAGATGGGCGAGTGAAGGCCCTTTATCTCCAAAGTCACGACCTGGTGGTGGTGAGCAACCCATAGGAGCTCCAGCCTCTGGGGATGGAACCCACCGCCCCCTGCTGGCTCTACTCAGAAGAAGCAGGTTTGGAAGCTGGTGCCAGGATTGCTATCACTGTTGGGACCACAGAAGATGGTTCTCCCAAGGCGAGAGCGGTCCAGCTCACTCCTTGTCCAGGTTTCTGTCCCCGTGACTCAGAATCCCAGTGGGACCCACCAACCACCCCATCGCCAAATGAGGAGACCTCAGCAAAGAGCGGAGTGGCGAGCGTCAAAGGGAGACAAAGAACCAAACACTCAAACTTGGTTTGAGAGAAAGGGCATGGAGCACCAAGGGCCCCATGCCCTGCAAAAAGAATAAAAATAAAAATGGAAGAGAAATAAGTTGTGGAGGATAGCACCGTGTGCGCTGAAGTTTCAAGGCCAGAATTCAGCAGCCAGGTGTCTCCAGAAGGAAAGTAACAAGGCCAGCCGGCCAGCCAGCCGTGGTGACTGCCGGACCCAAAGGGACCGTAGCTGGAGCTACGGGTGTCGTTGTCTGTGTTGGAGACAGATGGGGAAACTGAGGGTGGTGACCCAGCCCTCCCTCCTTGGGGGTACAGCCAACACTGAGGGAGGTGGGCCATGCCTGTGGTGGTGGTGAAGGTCATTGTGAGTGCCCTTGGACACAGCACCAGAAATATGGAATGACAACTCAAGAAAGTACCTCCTCTTTCTAGTCTCCCCAAATTCCCGGGTCCTTCCAGGAGACAGCGTCAGCTCCGCACGACAGGTCTGAAACACCTCCCCAGCCCTGCACTCCCTGCATCCCAAGGAAACAGCCTCCCTCCAGCTCCCAGCAGCATCTGGTGCAGGCCACACCCTCGTTTTGTTTCAGTTCAAGTATTTTGATAGTTCCTTGATACTTATAGCAAGTGAGATTTCCTTTTAAGAAAATGATATAAAGTTTCTTTTTAAAATAATAGTTATTGAGTCTATTTTTTATGAAATTGCTATTTTTACTGACATGCAGATGTGCTTGAGTTATGTTTATCCGAAAGGGTTCTATTAACAATGGAACACTTTAGCACCAAGTCACGAGATGTTAAAAATAGTACAGCGCAATAAACACAGCTATGTCTTCCACGGCCCCAACTGCAGAGAGGGGTGAAGGCAGCTACCGAGTCTGGAGGGAACCGTGCTTTCAGGTGGCCTTCACAGGCGGCCGGAAGCCCAGAGCACTGTCCAGGAAGAGGGTGTGGGGTTGGTCTGTGCCCCGGAGACAGCTGCACTGGATGCCAAGCTCTGCTCCCCCCGCTCCGCCTCTTCCTGGGCCTCCCTGCCTGGGGGCCGGCACCAGCCAGAGCCTCAGTCCACGCCGCCCACTCAGTCCTCACTGATCACCCCTCATCAGTGGACTGGATGGGTGGCAGGCCTCTGTCTTTGCGCAGAACCCACGGACACACGTGCTGTGTGGTTTCTGTCTAGATTGAGCTTGTCCATGGCCAGCAGTGACCTCAAGGCCAGGGTCCTGCACCCACGTCTCCTATGCTCACAGGAATGTCCAGCAACCTCTAGAACGAGCCAGAGACTCAACATAGGAAGGCATATTTTCTTCTGGAAACGGCCCATGAGAGAAGCAACCAGGGGCTGGAAAGGCCATGAGACTTTTGAAAGCACCTGGACTCAGCAAGTTCTGGGAGGGAGAGACTAGTGGCCTTGCTAGCCGCTTGTCACAGATGTAGCTTGGTTGGTCTGAATTCCCCGTTGGTGCCAATGGCCTCACATGATGCTGGAGAGGGTGCTGCGGCCCTTGTGCCTAAGTAGGCCCTGGGGCTGGTGCCACCACATGGAGAGGCCGTTCAAGGAGGGGCCTGTGTGAGCTCCAAGGCGGGTGTCAGCATTACGGCTGCAGACCCAGCCCCGTCCCTGGAGGTACTACACTTGGTATGGCATCCAGAGCTTGGGAGTAGCCCATACCACGGACCCCAGCAGCTGACTGGATTCTTGCTCCAAGTAGAGAGAGAACTGGCCAAATTCAGGTCAGCACTCAGCCCCTGACACAGGCATGCCCCTCGGGGACGGGCAAGGCTCTCTGCCGGCCCAGCAGTATGAGGACTCAGTGGGACTTGCAAAGGTGCAGGTAGAACTCCCTGGCACAAGTAGTTCAGGGCTGGCTGAGCCCTTGCCGCAGGGCCGGCTGGTTGCACTGTTGGGTACAGCACTGCTGGTTAGCGCTCCGCACGGGTGCATGGCTGCATGCGGACAAGGGGGCTGGGGAAAGGGCCACTCGGCCTCAGCTTTTCCCTCTTGGAAGAGCCAACACTCCAGGTACACAATATGGATGATATAAGGACAGGGCAAAAATCACGAAGGCAGAATGGGACTCCCTGAGGTACGGGGGGACATTCAGACCAGCAGGGATGAGTTCTTGGCCTCTGGGTACTTGACCCAACCAGTCGGAGCCTCTGACCAGTCGGAGCCTCTGACACCCTCAGGGGTCTGTGCTGATCTGCTGCGGAACTAGAAAATGACGTTTCTCTAACCCTCAGCACTATTGCTTTAGCAGTTTTACAGTTTCAACTAAAAAACTCTCTTTCCTTGCTTTGGCAGCACAAATACTAACACTGGAACGATGCAGAGATTAGCACGGCCCCTGAGCAGCGATGGCATGCCCATTTGGGGCACATTCCATACTTTTTTTAAGTGGAAGAAAAGAAATGCCCCTTACCGTCACACTTTTCCCACAGTGGACACGCGCCGCAGGCTTTCGCGGCTGAGGCAGGGTGTCTGCAGGTGTCCGCGCCCGTCAGCGTGAACCGCAGGCCCTGGCAGTGCACAGCACGCAGCTTGCACACGGTCAGGGGCAGCACCCGTCCCCTCCTCTCGTCCCGAGCACACACCGCCAAGGAAGACCTGGAAGGCATGTTTTGAGTTACGTTCTTTACAAGGTGTTCATTCCTTCAGAGCTGAGGGTGAGAGGTGACAGGTGAAGCTCTGTGGCAAAAAGGTGGAAGAGACACTCACAGCCCTTCCTTATACGGGCCCACCCCCCACCAGGGGTGTCCGACCTTGGGGCGTCTCTGGGCCACACTGGAAGAAGAAGAGCTGTCTTGGGCCGCACATTAAACACATGGCACAAAATAATCTCATCGTGTTTTAAGTAAACGTATGGTTTTGTGTTGGGCTGCATTCACAGCCATCCTGGGCCGCATGCAACCCCGCGGGCTGTGAGTTGGACATCCTTCTAAAAGAATGTTTTTTGCTCTGTATTTGCTCCTGATGTTGAGAGAGCTGAGACAGCTAGTGTCAACCTAGTTTCATCTGGAACAGATCAGATACCGCAAATCAGAAGAGAAGGCAAGATGTGCGAGGGACCGCTGGTAGGCTGATGACAGGAGAGGGACAGAGAGTATGCTGAGATCCAACACTCAGAAGCCATGGGTAGGTGAGGCCACGGACCACAGGACGTACGGGCCCTCCCAGCCCAGAGGTCAGTGCCCAAACCCTCAAGGGAAGATGGAACTCTGCTTCGAGGCTGTGTTATAGCGCCTGCATTTACAAAATACTCAAGAAGTAGTTCCATAAAGAATGATTCCTAGCCCTGGCTGGCGTAGCTCAGTGGATTGAGTGTGGGCTGCAAACCAAAGTGTTGCAGGTTCGATTCCCAGTCAGGGCACATGCCTGGGTTGCAGGCCACAGCCACCAGCAACCGCACATTGATGTTTCTCTCTCTCTTTCTCCCTCCCTTCCCTCTCTTAAAATAAATAAATAAAAAAATAAATAATCTTAAAATAAAAAAAAGAATGATTCCTTTTTTCCTTAAGCATTGGTGACAAAATGATGAGATCCAGCTTTTTAGAAATGTCACTGATGAAAACAACTACATCTCTGAATGTGGATGGATAAGGGAGGCATTACTGTAGGGAAAGCTTAGACAATGAAGCATTTTTGTACGGTAGACAATGTCCATCTTTACTTGCACATGTGTTTAGCTCTAATTTTCTCTTCTCTGACCAAGTGCTATATTTACTTGGAGTTATTTACACAATGAAAACCAATCTTCATATCTCTTTTCCATCGGCCTATTTAAAATTTAAATAGAACTACCCAAAACAGCTTCAAAGGCAGAGACTTTACGAGGCCCCAGTGTTGATGGGATCTGACCTGTAAACTCACACACACCACGTCTACGAACAGCAGGCTGCAGACAAACCCAGTGAATCGGGGAAGTTGGAAAGCCGATGGAAGTGAATCAGAGTAAGCGATGCTTGAGAGGAAATAACAGCAGTCAGCATCGCCAGTCCCACTATTTCGTTGTGTTCTCCTTCCCACAAGAAGTTCTTCCGGGTCGGACACCACCAGAGTCACCGTCACCCACTGCAGGGGTTCGTGGAGTTGGATGTGTCAATAATAATAATTGAAAGCCAAGTAATTGGCCTGCAAATGTGTGTTCTGATTAAGCTCAGGTGTATGGACATATTTCTCCCACTTGCCTCTCTGGTGTCCCTCTCCCTCTCGCCTACCCTTCCTGGATGGCTGCCGCATCTGACACATCAACAGACTTCCCTGTCCTCTCGCTTTGCGGGCATTTAATCAGTGGGAGCAGTGGCAGGAGACTGGAAGGGGAGGGGCAGCCAGGTGGGGGTTTATTCCCCTGGGTCCCTCCTCAGCTGTCATCTCCACCCTCTTTATGTCTAGGTTCTTGTAAAGGCTCCTCCCTTGCTCCTTTGGGCTTGGACATGGACAGGTACCCACCCTGTGACTCGTCCAGGACACTGCCCTGTGGCTGGCACTGTCCTTTACATTTCCACTCTCCAGTTAACAGTCCCCCGTGTCATCCTCCTCCGTCTTAATTTAATCATGCCAGCTGTACCGGCTAAGACTGTGATGAGGACATCTAGGAACTCCCTCGGGTCTCCTTCAACCATGAACTGGTCTCCAGCCGGGTGGCACCTTACAAAGCCATCTAGAGACAGACTTTTCAGGGGTCAGAAACCCACTGCTTTTCTCACTGTGGGCATGGCTTTCTGTCTCGGGATTTCGGTCCTAATCCTCTCGAGCTCTAAATCCTCGGGTGGCAGTCTCGTCCTTTTGCACCATTTCACATGTACAATAGGCGGCGCTCAAGTAGTCCTTCAGCCTCTCTCTAGCCAAGTTAGATGCCTCCAGCCGTCAGCTCTGGTGACCCCGGCAAACAGCAGGCAGCAGATGGAGCAGATTAACAAGCAAAGGTCCTTAATGCTTGGTAAGCAGCACTTTGGATCTAACAGAGACTAGCACCTAAGGAATCGTTTTATTTATCTTGAGTAAAATGAAACGGAGACTCGAGCAAAGATGGGGCTTACCGACATTCATTGGGCACTTTACAAACACATCTTGAATTCTTCACTTTCTCCCAGGGCTGACATACAGGCACTGCTGATGTCAGAGGGGCAGCACCTAAGAAGCAAGAGAGACAGGAGGTGTGGTCATCGGGAGAACAGCTTCTTCACGGTCAACACCATATCATTTTCATTGCTGAACCTGGTTCAGTAATAGTCTCAACTGCAACAAGTGTGTACAGTAAAAATATAAAATGCTGGAAAGCATTTTATAAGAGATAGAGCGTTCTATGGAGCACCCTAAAAATCATGTCATCGGTCATGGTCACTATCATTTCTGGAGCATTTACTATTAGCTATGCACCCTTTATACATTGTGATATTCAACTCTCCTTAACAAATGCCCACTTAAGAGATGAAGGAAGTGAAAATCAGAAAAGTTAGAAAGTTGGTGCCAGTTCACACAAAAGTTAGAAAGTTGGCCAAGCCAGGATTCAAGTTGGCGTCTGTTCGAGTCCAAGGCTGGTGGGCCAGGGTCCCTTTCAGCAGGAAGTTGGTGTTTAGTGTTCACTTCGACAGTGCATATGCTAAAATTGCACAGTAGATTATGCAATAGTAGAATGACACGAAGGAGATTAGCACGGGCCCTGTGCAAGAATGACACAAACTTGTCATAGGCAGAGACGACAGGAGGAGACTAGACTTTGGGCGGTGAGCATGCAGTAAATTATACAGATGTTGTATTATAAAGTTGTACACCTTAAATTTATATAATGTTATCAACCAATGTCACTCCAATAAATTTAATTTTTTAAAAAAGCTGGTGTTTGCTGGACAGCGTTTTGCCCAGTGTCCCTTCAATGGAATAGGAAACAGAACTATGACTTGACTTAAACACAGAGAATTCCTTGGAATCTCCGGGAGATCTGTAACCACCTCTCACGTGTAATGTCCAAGCGGCCTCCCTTCAACAGGGAGTAGATGTCTGGAGGTTCTCCCATGAATAGAACCCTTCCCATTGTTTTAGGTTTTCTACAAACTGATGGATGGTTAGCCGTCATTCCAGTTTCAACAGGAAAACACCATGGTCCAAATTATAAAAGCATCATTTGACCTGCGTTGCTTTGGCCGTACTGACTGCAAAGGGGATAATCTACAACACTGCTATTCCTTTTCCCACCAGCTTCTTTACAATGGAATTTTCAGTGCCTTATAAAACCAGTTACCTGTTGAAAAATACATCTGCAAAGCAGTAAGAAAGGGCTGAAGAGCATGTTTTCATGGATGCACAAACCATGCAATACGTCCTAACTTTGGAAAGCTTTGGAGCTTTTAGGCACAACAGGACAATCTCCTGAACCAGACATTTGTAAACTAGAGGATGTGCAGTACGCCTGCCACATCCGCACCCTCTGTCACGAGTGCTTCCTCTTTGAACACTCCCCTTTAAAGCGATGTATCCGAAATGCTATGTAGTGCCTTGAATCGTATCCTAGACAATAAAAAGGCTATTAGTGGAAAAACTGGTCATATGAAAACAAAGTCTGTAGTTTAGCTGATAGTACTGTAACAATATTGTCTTAGTTTGTCTTAGTTTTGACTAAATTATGTCAAGTTATGTGAAATATCAACATTATGGAAAGGTGGGTAAAAGGTATATAGAAAAGACACTTGCAATTTTTCTGAAACCTAAAATTATATATATATATATGGTATTATCTAGATTGGTGCTTCTCACCAGTGGCAATTTTGCACCCCAGGGACATTATGTAATGGAGTTCAGTCAGGGGGCCCCCAAAGAGGGATTTGTAATGGGGTCCAGAACTCAGGGTGTCTAGGAAATATTAAAAATACAGGATATCCTCATCCCCACAAGTCTAAACTGGGGGTGGGGGGGAGGGCGGACACATGCAGCAGGCCCATTGAGAGTTGTTTTGCATAGCAACAGTTTTGCAACTAACCTCCAGAATGGTCATTTAACATATCTATAACCTTTAACTGGTTTCATGGATATGTTAAATAGCTGTGGCCATGCTTTGAGCTAGGGAGAAGGGAGCGACTTCCACCCAAGACGTAACTGGGAGGCAACTCCCCCTCGTTATAGCACCTGTGTGAGAGTTTGATGATGATTCACTCCACACCATGGGGCCATGCCTGCCCGGACTTACTATGGCAGCCCAGAAAAGCTGGAAAAAAAAATACAGGAATGCTGGCAGGTGCAGCCAAATGTGGGAGGGGTCAGAACTGGGGCTGCAAAGGAAGATTGGCGCTGGGATTTAAACCCGAGAAAGGCAGCCTTGGGAGGGGAGAACTATGGAGCTTTGACGAGAAGGGGGACCCACACGGTTCTGGGGGTCTTTTTGCCACATAGCTTAGGAAACAAGAAAGCAAGACAGAGCTCTTAGCAGCGATGCAGAGCTCTCTCTTAGCAGTTTGGAAGAATGCAGGAGAGACGCTGTGGGAAGGAAAGGGGTGAAAGGACTCTTGCTGGTGGGCCAGGAGAAGGTGCCACGTGGGTTTGGATTAAGAACTGGAGATCCAGGTGACACGGCTGATGGTGCTGGGAACCGAGGGAAGCCTGCCAGCTGAGCACGGATTACTGGTAAGAGCCAGGGGCCACCTGAGCCACGCACTTCTATTTCTTTTCCTGAGATACAGTGCCCTGGACTGGGCAAAGAGGGGAACGAAGGGCTGTGTGTGTGTTTGTGGGCGTTTTAAGGAACTTTGGGATTTTAATGAAGACGTTAAGTCATTGCTCTTAAGTCTGTATAACTTTTGAATAATTCCTTTCCTTTTCACCAGTCTCTGACATTAAGAGCTATGATTCCCTGGTGGTGGGCAAGCGGACCTCATACAGGGTGACCCCAAGAGGAGGGGGGTGTCCATTCAGTAACAGAATCTCGTCCCCCCTCAAGTCCCTTTGGTAACAATTTGCCAATGTCTAAAGACATTTTTGGTTGTCACGGGGGGTGCTACTGACATCTAGTGGCTGGAAGTCAGGATGCTGCTACATTTCTCACAGTGCATCGCACAGAGAATGATCACCACAAAGAATGATCAGGCCCCAAATTCCAACAGTGCTGGAGTTGAGAAAATTTAAACTAAAATGTACCAAATCTAAAGTTCAATGCTAAAGCCATGGAAATTATTTCTGCATTGTGATTAGAATCTCATTTGCGAATCACTTTAGAGTTTAAATATTTGCTAAAAGTTATTGTAATTTGTGAAAACTCCTTATAGAATTACCTAGGCCAAAGGCTTTGGCATTTACGAAGAGCATAACCTTGTTTTCTTTGTAGCTCAATTAATCAAACAAACATGCAATTAGGGCCCATATAGAGTGTGTACCTTTACTATTTTAAAACCAAATCACCTGCTCATCAAGACTAAATACTAAGGAAATGAGGGTTTAGTGTTTAATAGGTACCGAGTTTCAGTCTGGGAGGATGAGGAGTTCTGGAGATGGAGGAGGTGAAGGTTACACAATCATGTGGATGTACTTAATGCCACTGAACTGTACATTTAAAATGGTTAAAGTGGCTGATTTTATGGTACGTATATTTTGCCACAATAAAAAAAGACTAAATCTTGACACAGCAGGCATTTTAAAACATTCACTTTGGAGGCTGACAAACTTGGAATTTTTGTTAGTCACAAGCTTATTTTAAAAAAGGTAGTTATTAATATCTATACCTTCTACAAAACTACAAAACTAGACCTCTCTGACTCGAAGTTCATGTGGATTGCCGGGAAGTTTCAGCGCCCAGGGAAGCCCAGGGAGGTCTAGGGAAGCCCCTTGCACTCCATCCCTACAGACAGAACTCTACAGTTAACCTATCAGAGTGCTCAGCTAAAGCATATGTCTAAAACTACAAAAGGTTTCAACTTAACATTAAAAAATTTTAAACTGGAACATTTTAGCAATGAATAAGCTCAGAAAGCTCATCCCAGAAGTGAAATTAAAGAACTATTGCTCTGATGTCTGAAAAGTCAAGGTCATGCTCAGCTTCGCCCACTCGCAGGCTTAGGCAGACACATGCAGGTCTGAAAAACATTCTTAATTAAAACTTAAGTAGAATGTGCTACTACGTGGGAGACAGTTCATGCCACACCGTGCTCTGAGACGGCCGACGCAGACATTTCAGGAAGATAAGCACGTCTTCTCCTTTGGAATTCAGGAGCAACCTCGTTGCATTGCTCTCTTTAACTGCAGAATTACTGGCGCAGGTCCATTCCTTCACATGTGCAAATAAATTGCAAGTAGGCAAATAAATGTGTGTGTGCGCTTCCGTGCACATAGAGAAAAAGCATCCGTCTCTGATAGGACCTTTGACCCTGAACTGCACGTGGCAGCTGGGTGCTGGGCACTCCATGGGGCCGGCCACCTTCCTCGTGTGTCCAGTCCCTTTCACACCCCTGCCCACGGCGGCGGCGGTGGTCCCAGGGTGCACCACGCAGCCTGCTCCTGGCGGCCGTGCCCACCTCACTCACCTGTCGGCATCTCTCATGGCATCTAGCACTTCGTGCTCACTAGAAAGGACAAGTTTCAGCACCAAATTCAAAATCACAGCCAAGGGAAATAAGAACACCATGTAAAACGGAATGCAAGAGAGTTTTTCTTCTTTCCCGTTTTAATCATTTCAAACATTTTTTAGTTATTTTTTTAAAAAGTAAACAAAGAAGAAATAAAAGGTTATTTTAAAAAAAACAAATCCATTTCATCTTAAATATCTCTAAAAAAGAAATGACTTGGCTTTCCAAATCTTTTTCTACCTCAAGTTCCAAAACACTGTTTTAACTTGCTTAATATTCAAAATGCTGCATTTTTGGGGATTTACACGATTCAGAACAACTTCACAAACCACAGTACTTTTCCTTCAATCACTTCCGCTTTGCAGTGTTAAATGTAAATGCTTTTAAAATTTTAATTTCAAAAGTACTAATAAACTCTCTGAAAGCCCATAAATAAAACATACAGAACTCCATGTAATTCTTATGTCAATTTTGTACTCAATAAAAGTATATTTAGAATTGGGAGGAAACCAGCAATTTGCTTTTAAAAATCCTTTTCCTCGGCACCGTCCGGGATACAAAGCCCGTCTATGATATAAGGGGTTTTGTTACAATTTCAGAACCGCCAGGCTTCTTCTTGCCTTCCTTTCATCCCGTGAGTCTGCATGTGCCACGTATCGAAGCCTGTCACTTGGTCTATGAACTGACCTCCTTCCCATGGAGGGACAGGGGTGGAGGCAAGGACTCAACAGTCACGGTGACTCGGGGCCACCAAGGACCACCACCAGGACCGTCACTCTCCTGAGTGTGGGCGTCCCTGGACAAGCCAGGACCACTCACCTTTGTGCACACAACGGATGTCCTTTATCTCCGGGTCCCACTTGAGGCTGGATCCACAGAGAACTGTTGAAGGACCTTCCAAGGACATGCCGTCTGAACAGGAAAAGGTCACCTTATCGCCGATGGTGTAGGAAGGCTGCTGGGGCTGACTCTGAAGGCCATCCCTCAGTGCAGGGAGAACACAGGCCATTTCTGAAGATAAACACACACACACACACAGAACACAACGGTCATGGCTTTCCTGCACCATCTGTGTAAAAGCAGGACAGCCTTGCATGGTGCTGATGGACATGCTCTGCTTTTTCACATTAGAAAGCAAGACAACACGCCCCATTGCACCCCACATTAAATCGACCAATGAATGACTGAAGGCCAAAACAGTTCCCACCCTCCACGCCTACCCTCAAAGCAATGTGACAATCTAAAATAAATTAGCTTATAAACAGAACCCTATAGTTCGGCCTGCTGTCAAAACCAGACTTTTCACCACTGCCACTTATCTCTCCAGTCTGGTTAAGCCCCACTAGAATTTTCCCAAGAACTATGTTCGTTGTTGTATGATTAGCACAAATCCAATTGGATATTTTACTATCCGGAATTTTTGAAGAGCTGCCTTTAACCTTGCAACCATACAAGTGTGAAATGTTGTTTCTCATCTCTTTTCTTTCTTGCTTGATTAGTTCATTAGTTCAAATTTTCTACTCGAAAAAACAGCAAAGAGAATAATGAGATACATGCACAGTGATGGAAAGCGAGTCAGAATTCACAATTTTAAAAAATCCTGGAGATCTCTCTAATGGACGACAGTCTACAAAATACTGCTCTATTTCCGCACCAGAAAATCCATTTATTCATCCATTCAAAACAGCATCTGCTGAGTGCCTCTATTTTGCCAAGTGTGTTGTGTGCTGCTGAGGACACAAGATACAAGTCAAGTTTTGAAGATCCAAGCTCCAGAGAGAAAGGAAGCCTAAAGCGGTGATGACAGCATTTAGGAATGCCTCTGTCCTTGAAGTATTTGCAAATGGGGTAGGGGGAGGGAATGTTGAGAAAAATGCAGCTTAAAGGCTGAAAAGCTGAGTAGAGTTTTAGGCAGTCTCTCAGGGCTAAGAGACAAAAATGTAGAGCCCAGTCCTGTCGAAAAGAAGGGACCTACGTAGACATTACTATCACAGTTTCAGTTGGGGTCCGTTAACAGCTACGCACTAGAAATAAACGCAAACTGGGCATAAACCAGCCTCACCACTTGCCAGAGACAAAACAAATCTTCTCTTAAGGAAGATAACCCCCACAGCCTCAAATTATTTCTTTAACTCTCCACACATAAAGTCTGGCATTCAACCAAAGCTAGTCTAATAGTCAAAAAAGATAAGAATTGACCAGAATGAAATAAAAAGACTTTAGAAGCAGACCCACAGCACAGATCCAGATAATGGGATGAACAGACATGGACCTCAAAATAACTGTGATGAACAGTTATGTTGGGGAAAAAAATGAATGACGAGATGGGGAATTTCAACAGAGAATTAGAAAGTATAGAAAAACAGATAAATGGAATATCTAGAATTGGAAAATAAAATTAAGAACTCAATAGAGTTGCCCTGGCTGGCGTAGCTCAGTGGATTGAGCTCGGGCTGCGAACCAAAGCATCACAGGTTCGATTCCCAGTCAGGGTACATACCTGGGTTCAGGCCATGGCCCCCAGCAACCGCACATTGATGTTTCTCTCTCTCTCTTTCTCCCTCCCTTCCCTCTCTAAAAATAAATAAATAAAATCTTTTAAAAAATATTTTTTAAAAAAAGAACTGGTAAAGTTTTTTTAAAAAAGAACTCAATAGAGCTCTTAAAAGTACAGATTATACAACTGTACAGAGAGTTGACAAACTGAGATAGGTCAATAGAAAATGTAGAATGAAACAAAGAGGAAAATGATGTAAAACAAAGGAAAGAGTGCGTATATAATAATAGATGAAGTCTAAAAATGTATCATTTGTGTTTCACGAGGAAAGTGAGCAAGAATGGGACAGTTGCAATATTTTAGGACACAATGGTCAAGAATTTTCTAAAATTGACAAAGGACCTTAAAGCACAGGTTCAAGAACTCCTGTGAGTACCAACCATCATAAAGACAAGGAAAATCGCACCAGGGCACATCAGAGCAGAGTTGCTGCTGAAAAACAAAGACAAAAACCCCAGTAAGTTAGAGGCAATGTAATGAAGTCTTTAAAGAGTTTGGAGAAAATAAATGCTAACTTATAATTCCTTACCCAATAAAAGTATCTTTCCAATATGAAGATAAAATGAAGACATTTTAACATGCACAAAGACTGGGACTGTTTTTCACCAATGGTTTCACAATAAAAGGAAAGAAGTTCTTCAAGCAGAAGCATCTGATTAATCTTTTCATCGAACCAGTTTGGTGCTCTATGACCCCCAGCCAGGGAATGTTTGTTTATATCCCATTTCAGTAATTCCTGCTGAAGAACTTCCGACGGAGACAGAAAGACAAGACAGAGACAGGCAAAGAGGAAGAGAGGACGTCCTACGAACCAGTAAGAAAAAAGACAGACCTTAAAAATGGACAAAAGATTGCACAATCACTTCACCAAAGAGGATAGCCAAATGTCCAATAAACAAGTGAAAACAGTCTTAGCATCACTATTCATCAAGAAGAAATACAGATTAAAAGACATCACTACATACTCGTACAGCTAAAAAATTTTAGAGATGACGTGAGTGAGGATTCAGAGCAATCGCAACTTCTCAGATTTTGGTAGGGATGCCAATGGGTAGTGATCGCACGGAACGCTGGCAGCATCTTCTAAATTTAAATGTAGACGTACCCTGTGACTCAAAACTTTCACTTATAGGTATATATGCAAGACAGAAAATGTGCTTGGGTTCACTAAGGCATTCCTTATGTGCACAGGCCAAGCGATGTAAGAAAAATATATCTCTACACTCTGTCGATCCATCTGCCGAACGAACTTCTACTGCAGTGCAGCTGAGACGGAAGCCAAAGGGTAGTGTTAACGTCACACAATTTGTCTACACTGAAACAGAACAGGACAGAGATTGACTGTGGCATTGATTGTAGTACACTCCTAGTTATTGAACTTTAGAAGATGTCTTGATGGTCTTCGCCAGAACGGAGCTCCCCGGCCAATTCTAATTGGTCCCAGAAATCACAATAAAATGTGCTGCACCCACCCGCAGCTCGGTCAACTAGAGAAAGCTGAGGCCTTCCTTGGGGCACTCGTGAAACTCAGGATCCCATGAGCCTTTCAGTAAAGGGAGGTCAAGGCATGGGGCCCTCGATGAGCAATTATGTGTCTGGATTCATTCTCTTCCACGTTATTATCTCAAAGTTTAGGCTACAGCCAAGGCCACTCACCCTGACAATGCATTTCCTCAACAAGCCACTGTAAATCATCTCCACATCTGGCAACGGGGTTTCCAACAAGAGAGTACCCCTCATTGCAGGCGTACACGATGTTTTTCCCAACAGGAAATTTGGTATCTTCACCCTAAACAGAAATACAAGAGAGGGAAGGAGCATGCCTGTTCTGCATCGCCAAAGTGTTTCTTTAGATACATTTGGTCTATAAACCATGCCTTCTTTTAATCATCAGGCAACCAACACTGCAATCACTGATTTAATAATTGCTTATAAAAATAGTTTTTTGTTGATAGTCCCAGCCAACACCACTTGTCCCACCATCAACTGAAATGAAGCCACTGATGTCACTGTACCATAATTTATTGATTGTGCTCAAAATACCAAGCGCTGTACTAAGCATTTTTGCTAAAATTACTTTAGTACACGCTGTCGAAGTGACTTCTCTCCCTTATACTTTCAGTTAAAGGCAGTTTGTTATCAGATTTGGGAAACCCTTCCTTTTTCGGTCCTTTTCGGTCAACCCTTCGTGGTAAAGTGTCAGGGGCTGTTCATTGGCAACACTGCCTGATGAATGCCAGTTTGAACAGACAGGTTCAAATCCCGTCGGCATGTTCACAAAAGTCAAGTCTGCCCCTGGTGACTTCCAGGGGAAGCAGAATGTTGATCTTCTCCCACCCCACCCTGTAGGGAAAGGGCTGCTGGGCTGGGTCAGATTCAAGGGCATGTCATTATCCTCTAATGCCAGGAGGTGACCCTTCTTGGTAAAGCACAAAAGAGTCTGAAGTCTGAGCCTTGAGTGGGCAACCAGGCTCGCATGGGGTCTCTCCTGGGAGAGGGCTTGGGGCTGGATTGGCTACGCCACAGGCATTAGAGCAGGATTCCACGGTGCCTGCTTCTCCCCATTGGCAGTCCTGGCCCAGGCCGGCTCCCTCATGGAAGCTGGTGGAAAACAGAGGCCCAGGTTGTTATGGAGGTTTGAAGAAAATGGGGAAGGACACTCAACTAGCTTTTTGTTCTAGCTCCTGGGCCTTACAAAAGGGACTCCTCTATGGGAAGGTGTAACTCAGCTGTGTGTGAATTTGGCTCTCTACAAGAACTGTTAGTAGCAATTTAGAAAAATACAGACTGTCAGGATCTACTCTAAACCTACAGAATGAGGAAAAATGAGAGACAAGGGGCACGCAGTCACCTCTATTTTTAAGGCCCTAGGTGACTCTGAGGTAGCCAGTCCATGGGCTCCTTAAAGGACACCACATGCACTGGGGTTTGGGACCACCACCTAATGGTTTGATAAAGTATGTTAGTCTGCTTGGCTGCACTCTCTGAGCCTAGGCCACCGTCAGGAACTTCACGGACTGTGGTGACTGGAGTGGGACAATATAAGTGTTCGTAGTACTAGGTTCACCGTGCGCTCTCTCTCTCTCTGCCTCCCTCTCCACACACACAGAGTGCTCTCCCATCTCCCACCAGCACCTACATTGAGGAAAGCTTCAGCAAATCTCAGTGCATGTATGTTCTAAGGCCTGCAATGTGAGAGGTAAACTCGTTCATGGAGAGAGCAAGGCTGGCCGCACACAGAGAACCCGGATGAACATCTCCTACGTGAACCAGGAGGAGACTTCACTGGGTCCAGGGCCCACTCCTCACCATGACAAGGAGTGAGAAGGGCCCAGAGGAACAGGGTCCCAAAGCCAGGAAAATTCCCTGGAATGACAGGTAGCAGACAACCCGTGTTCCTTCCTGGGCCAGAAAATTGCTCAAAGCATAACGATTCGTGTCTCACCAACACTGGCTAAATGTCTGATCAGTTCCTGGAATAAACGTAAGACTTCATCACAAACCTCATTTTTATGAAAAAAAAAATGTGTTTTAGAAAAAGTTTTTTTTTAATGGAAAGAATAGAGAAAGTCCTCATTATGAAGAACTTGCTTACAGATTTCTATTTTAGTGGGAATGGAAATATTTAGCTGCCCTCTGGCATGACTACACTTCTAATTCATTGGGCAGCAGTATTGATTACCTCGCCACAGAAGATATACCGCCTCCTGCAGAATTCTAATCACCTTGGGCCAAAGAACAAAAGTCATGATCTAAAACCCCCATCACTAAAACTGAGATGCACACATAAAATATTTTTAGCACCATTTCATCTCGGAGAAGGACATGGATCATAACCACAGAAGAGAGGTAGAACTTGAAGCAAAAAGTGTATGTAAAGGGGAAATACGTCTCTCTCATAACCAACTTGAACAAATCCGTGGTTCAAGGCAGGGGGTGGTGGACAGAATTCTGTTGAACCGGAAGGCAAAGGAAAGCAATGTGGTTCAAGCAATCTGGAAGGGAAAGGAAACAAAATATCATCAATGTGATATATTTCCACAGTATAATTAGTTTTTTGTACTATAGCAAGTTTTTCATTTGCATCTGAAAGGACTCCCCTTTCTAAACCCTCCTGTCACAGAGCCAGCGAGCTCCTGCCACATCTGAGACTCTGTCAACCTGGCTAACACCCTGTGACCCACCCTGGAGGTCCCAGGAGATTCCACCCCCACCCCCACCCCACCCCCCGCCCACCTTACAGGCGGAGCAAACTGCTTGCCCTTAGGAATGCCTAGTCTGGGCTTATGCTGCATAAATTCCTAAATCCTCCCAAAGAATCCACTTGATCTCCCAGAGCAGCTCCACTTAAACGTCTGTGGGCTGACCGAGAAGACACCTGTGCACTGAGCAACAGGGCAAACTTGAATGTTAAACCCCAACTCAGGAGGAACTGAGTTGGTGGAAGGAATTGCAATGTGACAATCCTTAAGTACAAATGCATTGACTGTTTTAAAAGAAAGCTATTAGCCATCTCAAGCATCTGACCTTATGGTTAACCCTAAACACATAAGTAAATAAATAAGAAGAGGCGTATCGGAAAAGTAATACAACTGCTCTTGAGTGCTTTCTCTGAGCAGAGCCAGGCACTGGACGAATCACTTTACGTGCTTCATCCTTTATAATGCTGACCAAAGCTAGTTATCGTTTTATCTACTCTGATCATCTTAATGTTAGAGGTGTGGCGAGTAACTGGCCCAGGGTCACACAGCAAGGAGGTGGCCGATCTACTCGACGCCAGCGCTGCTGCTGGCGTCTACAAGCCCAGCCTGCCTCCCAGTTCCCCAGCCTGTTGTAACAACGTCAGGAAAACTTGGAACATGAGAGCCAGGTGGCCACGACTTGCCCCGGTCCTTCAGCTGGGCCCAGGGCTAAAGGGTAAAAAAGCAGCCACTGATAAAAATCACCATTTAACTTTCAAATCTTTTAGCAGCAGCGATCGCCCAGTCCACGCGTACAGCAGTGGACAGTGGGCGTCACGTCACTGCCAGCAGGTCCGGGCTCCATTACCGCAGATTCCTCAGCTCCTCGTCTTCCTCCCCGCACCGCCTGCTCTCCGACGTTTCCCCGATGCAGGAGAGCCCGCCCCCACTGGGAGGCGGGTTACTGCATTCTCGACGCCTCGTTTTCTTCCCTGCAACACAGGAGCTCCAAGAGGACCAGCAGTTCCAACCTCCATCCACCTTCCCTGTGCGAGAAGAGAGAGGCTGGTCAGAAAGGACTGGGAGAGGAAGAGTTCGGAGTTCAGTGCTCAGCTGCCTGCTCAGGCGGGTGCTGGGAGAGAGGACGGTCTGGGGACTTCCTACCTCCCACATTCACTGGGGCCTTCCACCTGGCCAGAGGTCTCTGCGCGCTGACCGGGGCTGGCCATAGCAAGGCTGCATTCACACACTCCTTACAATGAGTGATATCTAAAATTGGTTCATCATTTTCCAACCGTTTCAAAGCACTTCCACCTATATTCGATCATGGATTTACTTCTCACAAGAATGAACCCAGGTGAGCCGGCAGTCAGCTACCATTCTAACTTGCTAGGTGTGGGAGCTAACACACAGTGGTTGAGTTCCATGCCCCGTGCTGTAATGGGTCTAAGAGCCACATCCAGACTGTAACCCGGCGTTAGACCTGAGTTCAGGTTCTTTCCATCACCCCACAGTCTCTCAATAAAGACAGTAAGTTCCCATCGTTAAGCAGAGGTAGGGGATGAGAAGGACATAGTGTCCTGGGTGCTCCAGGCTGCCATCCCGGGGCCGGGACTCTACAGAGAGAGGAAGCAGGCAAGCGGGTGGCATGCTTCCACCCCCTACCAGCATCCTTCTCCACTACTGCCCAAGGCTCCTCCTCAGCTCGCCCTGGCCACCCTCCACCTCGGGGCTGATGCACAACTCACAGCTCTTTAGTGTTTGCCCCCCACTCCCGTCATATTCCGTGGGGGAGGCAAGACAGAACTTGAACCATATTCTAAGAACTCAGCTTTACTAGTTAGACACTAATGTCAGAAACCATTCTCCCAAACATTGTTTTCTAATAACAGACAGGTATGTTTACTGTATGTTCCTCGGCTATTTCTACTGTACAACCCGCTCTACCCCCATTCCTCAGTACCATCTGCCAAAACTAATTTGTGTAATATTTTCCTATGATCTTTTTATGCTTTCTTCCATAATTAGAAACTGAGTTAATAAAGTAGTCCCCTAAGTATGTCAATAGGGGGGTAATAACAGCTTGATGTAGTATGATTGCTATTCCACTCCTTCCCAGCAGGGGGCACTGCCATTTTTTATCAAAAAACTGGAAACCCAAGCCACAAAGGAGTCAGTGGTGGAATTTTAATTTACCAGGACAGGCCCCCTGGGGAGATGTCTGGAGGGCAGGGGTGCCATCCTGATGCTTGTCTAGAAGCAACCACAGTTTAGTCATGTATTTACTCATTTATCAAACATCTATGAAGTGACTCTATAAGTCAGGCTCTGTGTCAGGCTCTGGAAATAAATCACACAGTCCTGATCATAAGAAACGAGCTTTCGCCCTGGCTGGCGTAGCTCAGTGGATTGAGCGCAGGCTGCGAACCAAAGCATTGCAGGTTCGATTCCCAGTCAGGGCATATGCCTGGGTTGCAGGCCACGGCCCCCAGCAACCACACATTGATGTTTCTCTCTCTCTTCCTCCCTCCCTTCCCTCTCTAAAAATAAATCAATAAAATCTTTAAAAAAATTTAAAAAAAGAAATGAGCTTTCTAGAGGAGGGAGACATAAACACATATAAAAATAAATATACATAAAATTATCTTATACTTTGCCTGCTCATAAAGTACCTTCACAGAGCCCTGTACTAAAGTGCTTAAAACACCAAGCACGCCGTGGAGCAGATGTTCAACGACCATGTGCGAATAATTGATTGATGGGATGGAATACAAAATAGAAATAAAGATGATTCAAGGAGCTTGCCGTCAGAAAGTTTAGGCAATGCAAACCCTTGCTCCACAGACCTACGCTATGACGAAACCTTCATGAGATGACTGTGGAAGGACAGAAGGTGTTTTAGGCACTGATCTAGTGTGCTGGAGGCAGGTACAGCAGGTCTGTTAATTCAGACAGAAATATGGAGACAGCCACAGGTCTTGGCGCCAGCACCTACAATCCAGAAGCGGAAGAGGGATGGAGATCCTGAACTGAAATGCCCGGTGAGACTTCCTTCTCTCCGTACAGCAAGAAGGGCCACCTCAGGGGCCAGAGGTGCAGAGGGGCAGGTCCCTTTCCCACGGCCCAACACAATCAGAGAAAATGCAGCACACTGACCTGCTTCGCCCTGTACGAGGACCCCTAGCTCACACGCGGCGCCAAACGTGTACGGTTTGCAAGAGCACTGACACTGGGTCCCCTCCACGGTGGCTAGGCCACCGTTTTGACAAGGCCGGCAATGGCAGGGGTCCGATTCATCCAGGTACTCCTCCAGAGCCCGTCTCAGGTAGACTCTCTTCACCGAGGCACAGGGTACTTCCTTGACCAGCTCATATAAAGGTGTCAGCTATGCAGGGAAAGACGTCAGCATCAGAAATCAGGGTTCTTGTGCGACAGTATTTTCCTTTTGGCATTTAAGCTCAATCCCCACTAAGACAAAATCGAAAGCCACTCTCATGTTAATTCCCATTATTTCTCGTTCAAATTTTTAAAGAAGCAATTCACTTTCTTTAGAAGACAAGTCTGAGGGAATTAGAACCAGCTAGGGAAGGCCTATATTTCATATCTTGTGTATATGCATAATTTATAAAAAGAAACCAACAGGACATTCATGTTCTAGTTGTTGAAATGTTATTTTGAAGACAATACATGTCCACACCTGCAGAGGACAGAAGAAAAGGAAATGCATTCACATTAGAGTAAAGGAGCACATGCAATTAGATTTAAAAGTACGTATCTTGACTCTGAGAGACTTAACGTCTCTCGAGTGAGGACCGTTACTCTTTCTCCCTGAAGACACTTGAACCAGGTAGGCGTTATTGCTCTGTGTTGGGCATGTCCGACGCCTCGAGACCACAGACGTGCTGGCTAAGTGTTAGCAACCTGCTCTCCCAGGAACAGAAAGGCTCTGATTTGTAGCATTTGCCGATTTCTTGAGTGTAACTACTGTCATGATGGCTGATTTTGGGCTACCTCCATGATGCCACTGAGCACAGAATTAGGAAGAGATGCGCCTCCCTGGCTTTGGAGAGTCAGTGCACCCTGGCTGCAGCACCCGACTGTGACAAATGCAAAGCCGGTCACATGGCCCTCCATCGCTGCCCAGGCTCTTCTGACCTGGGTGGCACTGTGTGGCCAGAGAGCTGTGAAACATCTCCACTTTCTCTCCTCCTTTCCTGTCCAACTAAGGAGCTTGCACAGCAGCTCTAGACAGTTACAGCAGTATGTGCAAAAGTGCACACAGCTGAGAACAGCAAACAATGTCTGCTTTTCCCTAGTCAACAATGCAGGGTTTTTAAAAGGTATATGGGGTACTGACAGTGAACATAAGCCACTTTGAATCTTAATGAATAGCACCTGAAGAGGAGACTTCTGGGGACAATTCTCCCCCATCACCCTTATTAGGAGGCAGGTGGGTGCCATATGGTATTAGGGAGATAACTTGAAAAGCTGAGTCCAAGTGTCTTAATCCCTGAAAGTCATTTCACCTGGGACATTGCTCGACTCCCATGGCAGGGAACAGATCATAGAATCAATTCTGCTGTAGCATTTGTTTTGAAGATATGAATTTGTTCTGTTGAGATTGTTACGTTAAGGGATAATAGAAGCATACCGCACAAGTTTTGCCTTTTTTTTTACATGCAGTCTTGTCCACGGGAAACACCAGGTGACCACAGAAAACTGGACACACTGAACCAAACCAGAAAGGGGTACACAACACACACAAACACATACCTCAAACATCCATCTAGTTCACCACCCGTGTGATAAACTACCCCCATCTACACCAGTGCTACAACTGTCTGGCATTTCTCATTGTTCTCCTTTCACTTCGCAACAATTCACAAGCCGTAACTGTTCCAGCACCCAGCATGCTTCAGATCTTTTCATAGGTAGTGTGCTATATTTACAATAGTATCCACATTTCTTAACAATTTATTGTGTATAGAACTGTGCAGCTGGGTTTGCCTTGGTTTTGATTTTTTTGGTGCCTATTTTTTTTTTTAATTTCTACTCATTCTTTTTTTTTTTAAAGATTTTATTTATTTATTTCTAGAGAGGGAAGGGAGGGGGTGGGGGGGGGAGAGAGAGAGAGAGAGAGAGAGAGAGAGAGAAAGAAACATCAATGTGCGGTTGCTGGGGGTTATGGCCTGCAACCCAGGAATGTACCCTGGCTGGGAATTGAACCTGCGACACTTTGGTTCCCAGCCCGCGCTCAGTCCACTGAGCTACGCCAGCCAGGGCTTCTATCTTTTTTTTTTTTAAATGACTATCACAGGTTATACTTTCGATTGTTGTGTCCCTAAACCCATTTTCCCCATAAACCTTATAGTCTTTTTACTGTGCAATCTTGCCTAGCTCTTGAGTGTTAAGGAACATTCATTGCATTAAAAGAGAACTGGCTGTCAATAGAACATCCTACAGTTCTGCCAGCCATGTTCGCTCCAGCTGAACTGACACGGCCCCAGGAGTGTGCAAGCCACGTGCACAGGAAGAAAGGTGGTCCGACAAATGTAACAAGCCTGAACGCCTTCCTCCCGAAAGGATCTACAGCCCCTCTGAATTGGGGAACAGGGAAGCCCATCAAATTCAGGGCAACAGCTTAAAATGCAGATATTGTCATTCATTTCTCTTGGGATTTACAAGACATTTTCACTGAAATACGGACACACGAGGCAACAAACCTTCTGCTTCTTGTTATTAGGTAACGTCACCCCAGGAGGTCCTGGGATTCAGAAAGGGCTGATCACAGCCTTCTCTGTTGAAGCCCCTTGATGTAATCGCCTTTTCCCCAGCGCACATCAACACGGCTGCTTCTCCTGCTTTGCATGCAGCATCACGTACCTTCTGCTTTATGACTTGGGGAAGCCCAGTCACAGAAGCTGCCCAGGAAGAATACCGCTCTTGGTTTCCGGCAGGATTCTCCAGCTCCAGGTAGCTGAGGCCGGACACGAAGCCTGAACTCCCCCCTCTGACAAAGGGGGTCCCTTGCAGCTTATTGCTCGAGGCTCCTACACGAGGAAAAGTCAAAGGAAGGAAGTCAGGATGCACGAGATGGGAACATACACGTGAAAAGTCTATCACGTGTTAAAACACAGCCCACCCAACTCTGTGATATTCTGCAAAAGGCAAAACCATGGAAACAGGAAAAAAAAAATCCGTGTTTGCCAGGGTATGTGCCATGGGAGGGAACAGGTGAGCCGCAGAGGGATTTTAGGAATAATTTCAGTGAAATTATTCTCCGTGGTACTCTGTGGCAGGTACACGTCCTTGTGCATTTGTTCGAGCCCAGGGGTGTACAACACTAAGAGTGGACGCTCATGAGAACTGTGGACTTGGGCTGACGATAGCGCGTCCAGGTAGGTCCATCCATTGTAACGAACAGACCATCCTGGCGCTGGGTGCTAACAGCAGGGAAGGCCGAGCCTGTGTGGGGACAGGGGTATACCAGAGTCTTCTGAACTCCTGGCTCCACTGTACCGTGAACCTAACACTACTTTAAAGAGTGATATCCATTAAAGTAAAAAAAAAAAAAAGTCATTACCTGACAGCAGATGATTTTAGGGAGTTATCGTTCATATTATTAATACTCTTAGTGTAATAAGAATATTATGTTATACAGGAATGATATGTCTGGGAGGATACATGTGCATATTTGGGGTGCAACTTCATGATGTTTCTTCTAAATGGCTCGGCACACATTACAAATGTCTTAAGTACATAACACACATTGCTAAGTAGTCAATATTATAAACACTATATGTAGATATATAGCAAAAGGTCAAAATAATAACTATTACACAGAGGAAGGGGGTATGTGTATAGGTGTTTATTATTCTGTTCTTTCAACTTTCCTATATGTTTAAAATTTTTTTTAATAAGATGGGAAGAGTTCCTTGCATCTGGAATACTAAAAATAAGCAAAAAAGCTGTTAACAGGCACACAGTAACACATGAGAAGTGTGTTACTTTCTGAAAAGTCTGAATACTAATTGAATCCTTTTTTTTTTATTATGTGCCTTAAAATTTTCAGAAATATTTTTATCTCCATTTATAATTGAGTTTTACTCTGGTCATGATCAGAAATTCCTAACTGGCAGATAAGACTTGGGATGACTTTCATTTCCTTTCCTTCAACTGAATTTCATAAAATTTTCAGAAAGCTTTGCCAATTCAAAAATTGTCATTTTATCATCAGAAAGTATTAAAGCCTGACATTTTCAATAAATCGCCTGAGTGCTTCCTCATCTTCATTGTCAGCGAATGTTTAATATGCAGTCACCCTTGTAATGAAGGTACCGCCAAGTTCAGTCCCTGAGCTACCTGAGTCCAAATCCCCTGCAGTGACTGCGGGTTCCTGAGTCCCGGCCAAGGCCCATGAGGGAATAGCCTTAGAATCAGCATTGTATTTATTTTTGTACATATATTTTATTGATTATGCCATCACAGTTATCACATTTTTTTCTCCCCTTTATTACCCTCTGCCCTGTCCCCCCTCTCCCACCACTTTAGTTCATGTCCCTGGGTCCTACATGTAAGTTCTTTGGCTTCTCCATTTCCTATCCTGTTCTTAACCTCTCCCTGTCTATTTTATACCTACTATTTATGCATCTTATTCCCTGTACCTTTTCCCCCATTCTCCTGGCTCCCCATCCCTGCTGACACCTCTCCATGTGATCTCCATTTCTGTGGGATTCAGCATTTTAACAGACTACCCCAGGTGATCTTCATGCATGCTATAGTTTGAGAATCATCACCCTAATGGAAACCCCTACTTATGTACGACAGATCCTTAAAAAATCAGTATTTATGTCTATTTTTAAGCCTGTAGCCTTGCTGGCCATACCACAGCGAGCTCCACGGCAGGTCCCCTTCGCCCAGACCATCAGCCTGGTCCAACAGCGAAGAACTTAGATCTGGAAGCCAGATGTCATGTATCTGTAGCTCATGTCTGATGCGTACCAATTATGATCTTGGGCAACCTTTCTGTGCCTCAATGCCCTTGTCTGTAAAATGGGAATGTGAACAATACCTAACTCTTAAGTAGGCCGAGTATATTGGTTAATTTTTGTGAATCACTGAAAAGTGTGCTGGACACATAGTGTGATGTGTTTGTTGAATACAAACAGTGAATAGCTTCCAGTCACCAACCCAGCTGGGGACTGGTGTCAACACCTTCCCAAAGCTCCCACTTCCACCTCCAGTTCCAGATCAGTGTATTTCCATCTTGCTCAAAACATGGGCTTCTCCTTTGTCATGTCAGCTCCTTGAGCAGCCACTTCCTCTGGTAAATTCACTGCTGGAAGCCCAGGGCCTACGATGATCCCTGGCACATACTCTGGGTTTCATAAACCATTGGTGAACGAAGTGAATAAGTAAAGTTGGTGTCACTACTCTGTCTGCCTCCATCCGGCAGTCATCTATATTCTATAAGAATATTCTATAAGTAATCTCCTCCTATTCAGTGAGAACTTTGGCTCCTGGGTCAGTCTTCACCATCTCCCCAATTTCTGCCATCACCCCAGGAGGACTTAATCTCCATACTGCTCAGTCCACGGCCTCACACAATGCACTGTAGTCTCACTTCTTTTTTTTTTAAGTCTGTTTTATTGCTTCTGCTATTACAGTTTTCCCAAATTGTCCCCCTTTACCCCCTCTCCACACTGCACCCCCCAACCTTCCAGCATTCCCCACCTTTAGTTCATGTCCATGGGTTGTACATAGAAGTTCTTTGAGTTCTCTGTTACCTATACTGTTGTTGATCTCTCCCCTTCTATTTTATGTCTACCAATTATGCTTCTTTCCTGTACTTTCCCCCATTCCTCCCCTCCCTGTCCCCACTGAAAACTCTCCACATGATGTTCATTTCTCTGTTTCTGTTGTAGTTGTTTGCTTCATTTTTGTTTTCGTTGTTTTTCTTTCTTTTTTTTAGGTTCATTTGTTGATAGCTATGAGTTTGTTGTCATTTTACTGTTCATATTTTTTATCTTCTTTTTCTTAGATAAGTCCCTTTAATATTTCATATAATAATAGCTTGGTGATGATGAACTCCTTTAACTTGACCTTATCTGGGAAGCACTTTATCTGTCCTCCATTCTAAATGAAAGCTTTGTTAAATAGAGTAATCTTGGATGTAGGTCCTTGCCTTTCATGGCTTCAAATACTTCTTTCCACCCACTTCTTGCCTGCAAGGTTTCTTTTGAGAAATCAACTGATAGTCTAATGGAAACTCCTTTGTAGGCAACTCTCTCTTTTACTCTTGCTTGTTTTAGGATTTTCTATTTATATTTAACCTTGGGTAACTTAATGATGATGAGTCTTGGTGTGTTCCTCTTTGGGTCCAACTTCTTTGGGACTCTCTGGGCTTCCTGGACTTCCTGGAAGTCTATTTCCTTCACCAGATTGGGGAAGTTCTCCTTCATTGTTTGTTCAAATAAGTTTTCAATTTCTTGCTATTGTTCTTCTCCTTCTGGCACCCCTATAGTTCAGATATTGGAACGTTTCAAGTTGTCCCAGAGGTTCAAAAGTCTCTCTTCATTGTTTTGGATTCTTATTTCTTCATTCTGTTCCAGTTGGATGTTTATTTCTTCCTTTTATTCTAAATCATTGCTTTGAGTCCTGGTTTCCTTCTTGTCACTGCTGGTTCCCTGAATATTTTGCTGTATTTCATATTGAGTATCTTTCGTTTGTTTTTTGATTTTTCGACCAAGCTCAATCAGTTCTGTGAGCATTTTGATTACCAGGGCTTTAAATTCTCCATCATATAGGTTGGCTATCTCCTCCCCGCTTAGCTCTCTGGATTTTTGCTCAGTTCTTTCATTTGGGTCCTATTTCTTTGTCCAGGGCACCTGTTAAGTTGTAAGGGGCAGGGCCTTAGGTATTCACTAGGGTGGGGCAACCCTCCTTGTTGCACTGCTTCACTGCCTGTAGGGGAGGGATCAGAGAGGGAGCAAGGCAGCTCACCTGCATGTCTCTAGTGCACTTTCCAACGTGTGAGACTGGGAGTTTCTCCCACCATGGCAACAGCCATAGTCCACAGTCAGCTCTGAGTCTCAGTTTCCCACTCAGCCAGCCCCGCCCACTCAGTCCACCACCTCGATGCAGTTTCTCTCCATCCACCACCTTACTGGTATGGTTGTTCTGTTTGACTATTTCTTGAATCCCGAGGTTGTTGGAGTTCCATGCGGTTTGATTTTCTGGCACTTCTGGTTGTCATTGATTTTAGATGGGTTGTTACCTCCTTTTGGTTGTGTGAGGAAGCAAAGGGTTTCTACCTACACCTCCATCTTGGCCAGAATCATAGTCTCACTTTGATTTCTACCATGCGAAGAATCTCTCCATTTGCAGGCAATTAAGTGTTCATCGCCAAATCCAATGAAGAGTCTTCAGTCCTTTTCTTACTCACCTGATCTCTAGCATTTCTTTCTGTCGACCTCTCCTCCTTTACTTTCCATGTCAGTAATCTTTTCTGGTTCTTATCCTATCAGATTATTCTTCCTTGGTCTTTCTTCCTTCTTTGCAACTTTATCCTTGTAAATGTCCATTTAATCACATCTTGTGTTAAACCCTTTAATGGCACCCCTTGTCATCAGGATTAAAACCCAACTCTTTCCCTTGCCATCTAGACGCAGACTGGATCAGCTCACTCTCCTGTTACTTCTTCACTCAAAGACTGGCACTCTGGTTCCCCACGTCCCCTACCACCACCATCGCCCACAGCACACGCTGAAGATTCCACCTTCACTGAGCATCCAGGTCACAGAGAGAACCTGAACCTTCTCCTGATGGTGACATTTTCCTAGACTTGTCTGCCAACAGTCACCATAGGGGAGAAAGGCAGTAGACACTGAGTACACACCTACAGTCCACAGGAGACACCCAGTGAATCTCACTCTGCATGAGTCTCATTGCCTTGACATACGAAAGAGAGATCAGAAGCAAAAACAACCAAACACTTGAAAAACTCAAAATAGGACACTTGCAAAAAATCGAAAGGACCTTGATGAGTAGGAATTAATCAAAGAGAGAGGGATGTAGGTGAAGTTTATAATGCATACCGCCCCTTTCCCAGTTACCTGCAACATTTTTTAAGGCATCGTTCAGCTCGTTGCATTGCCTTGAAGAAGATGAAAACACGAAAGTGATACTTTTGGAACGACAGCTATTCGTACTTATTGAACTATGACCTGGTGGAAAAAAATGAAAAGGTGCTTAATTTTGTTGAAGACCTTTGAGATGCTGCCAGGTGCGAGAGTGGGGACAAGAGGTTGTCTCCTATGACTGAGCCCACCTAATCAAGACTGAGATGATGCGTGCATTTCAAGTGCTCTAGAAGAGTCAAGGTCAGAAACAGGAATATGTGATTTAGAGAGGCCCCTTCTCATTTTGACCAGAGAGAGAAGGAGCTGGGGGTGATTTCTACATGAAACAGTGGAGGAAGCAGAAATTAAAACACCTCACGGAGCGATGGCTGTCACTAATTTACAGTCAGCCTCTCGGGCATGACGCAAGTAAGTAAAAGTAGATGGTGGGGGCGGGGGGGCTCCAGTCCATCTGCTGGAGACCCCAAAGCTGGGTTCTGGTTCTACAGCAATTAATTCCCAGACCCTGGTTCGACAGCCTCCACATCTCTTTATCTTAAACACCTCTGGTTTCTGACATTCCCTGCCCCTGACTCACAGCCTTCGTATGTGAAAGTTACCACTCATTATCAAATGCATCTATTTCTTTTTTTAAATGAGGATAGAAAATAGTAAGGTATGGGAAAATACTTCTCTTATATAATTTTATTAAGGATAATAACCTCAATATTTCTTAAAGAACAATAGGGGGCATATACAATAGGGGGCACAAAGGTAGGTTTACAATTGTCCACATGGACAGCGATACAATAATTAACAAGTAATACTACAAGAATAAACTGTGTTTCCTGTACTCACAACTATAAACCTACTTTTGCCCCACCCTGTATTATGTCCCAGGAAATTTGATTATATTTAAATTAAAACATTCAGGAAGAACAGAAACTGCTCAACAGTAACATTTTACTCAAAAAACACTTTTATGAAATTAAAAAGCTTTAAAAAATTCTCTCCATTTCTTTTAAGTCCTAAATTTAAAGAAGAGGAAGAGGAGGAAGAAGAAGAAGAAGAAGAGGAAGAAGAAGAAGAAGAGAAAAGGAGGAGGAGGAAGGGGAAGGAGGAGGAGGGGGCAGAAGGGGGCAGTGAAACTGAGTTCAGATCAAGTCACTTTCTGGATTAATTTTCCAGAGAAAAATCACCTCTGTCATTTCTACAAAAACCTGTGCTTATGCAATTTAATCCAACCTGTGAAGTTAGACAAGTTCAAATACTTCCTCAATGTTATTGCTACACATTAAGCCCAATGGAAAAATTTAGCCAATGGAAACAGAAAAATATTGTAGTTCCCCCACAGGGCAAAGCTACAAGACCTCCTATGAATCTCAAGTAAGAAGCCTTTCACCACCGCACAACCCATAATGGAAGCTACTGCTGTAAGTCTGGGAAGCTGCCCTGCATTCCCTCTGGTGAAGATGTAATCAGATAGTTTGGATCATCTCCCTCTAATCTCCTAGTGACAGTTACATCAAGTAGGCACATGACCTGGATCCTGCAGTCTCAATCTTTTAAACCTACTGCTCTAATTTTACCATCCCACTTTAATAGCAGCTAGTCACTATTTCTTGTTACAGAAAAGTAAATCAAGTGTGCTACCTCACATTTTTAAACTGCTGCTTTAATGAAATTTTTAAACACATTTAAAAAAAAAAGAAAGCTTACTCTCCTCCAAGGTCGTAAGGGTATCCTGACTGATGAGGAACACCCTGAAGCGAAGGTTTGGGATGGGGAAGGGAACGTGGGCATCAGCTTAAGGACAAAGTTGGGAAGGAGCAGGTTTGACTGGGAACGTTAGTAAACCAGGGCCAAAAGATCTTTGCAAAGGAAGAAAGGATAGTGAGTCATGGTTCCCTCCCCTCCATCCCACACTAGGGCAGCTGGTGAGGACCTCGGTGTGAAGTCCACAGAGCGTGAACTGAGCGGCACGCTCTGATTCCAATAAACAACAGGCATTTCCATCAGCCACACGGCGGAAGGCCAAAGCGTTCCAAGTTGACTTGGGAGCTGGTTAGATCTTTTTACGATCTACATGCCCTTTGATGTGTCTCAGAGCACTGAGTCTCCGTGTGTCACTCTGTGAGACAGGAGTTCTAGTGGCCACCTCACTGGGTGACAGTGAGGGTCACTGCTAAGATACAGAACTCGCCTGTCGGAAGGAAGGCAGCCAATGAATTTAAGCTGTAGTTGTAAGTGTTACATAGCAAGCAAACTTGTGATATCCAGAGGAGATTTTTTTAAAGGAATATGAGTGGTAAAGAACAGGGGTGAATAAAATAGTTCTTTAAAACCATCTTGATTTCTGCAATAACAGTCAATTCCTCATTAATTTCCCCTGAGGATCATTATGTAATCTGAGAAATGGGAAAGCTTAGAAAGTATCCTAAAAACCCAGTCAACACCCTCTGGAGATAGCTGAGACTGGTAATGGTTTAACTCACATTTCAGGGCACTGTCTAAAAGGATAGGCAGGCTTCTGAGTTAGGGTACAATATGATTCTGAGTTAGGGTACAATGGATTCTTACAGTTTTGGGATTCCTCTGCCATTTAATTTCTATTTGTCTTATTTTAAAGCTCGAACGTTTAAATGAACTAGATGTAATTGCCCCATGACAATCCTTGCAATGGTTTTTTATAACATGTTTTAAAAATACTCTACTGCGCCCTGGCTGGCGTAGCTCAGTGGATTGAGTGCGGGCTGCGAACCAAAATGTCGCAGGTTCGATTCCCAGTCAGGGCACATGTCTGGGTTGCAGGCCATGACCCCCGGCAACCGCACATTGATGTCTCTCTCTCTCTCTCTTTCTCCCTCCCTTCCCTCCCTAAAAATAAATAAATAAATAAAATCTTTTTAAAAAATGTAAAAATAAAAAAAAGTTAAAAAAAATACCTCTTTGTTTCATCTTCTCCGTGTCCACATAAAATAGAACCTTGTACTCTCCTCCTAAGGATCCCGACTGCAGAAAATGGGTCCCGTAGTCGTCGATCAACTTCCGGTAGGCGCTGTAGTCATACAGAGAGGGGAGGTGGGCGAGTTCCCTCCAGAAGGGCTCCGCGAGCTGTAGAAATTCTGGGTTGTTGTTGATGAACTGAGCCACCTCCACAGTGTTCTGGAGAACCAGCAACTGATAACTCTGTGGGAAGAGGAAAGAGTGGCAGGGGCTTTCGGTCCAAGTAAAAAGGTCGTGGAGGTATGGCCCTGTCCAATGTCTTCCTCGATAGCTGCCTTCACCCCAGACTGCAGGAGACTTAATTTTGATGCATGAGAAGGTGTCTTCTGGGCCCACTCACTTGGAGCAATGGAAGGAATTTTGGGGATCCCAAGTGGGAATAATATCTGAGGGATGTCATGGTAATGTCTTCTGTACACGGCCTCGAAAACACCGTGACCAAGTTGGTACGCCCTCCTCAACTACAGAGAGAGAACCAACTTCATTAGCTGCAAAACAATCTCACAAATAAGTATATAAAACAATGTGTCCCTAGGACCTGCCTCTCAGGGGTGACTTACAGGTAGGGTGACTGTATAATTAGCTCCCATACTGAAGTATTGACAAGTTAAGCCACTTTATGATGAGGTCTTTTAATTACTTCTTAAGCATGTTTCATGATGTTCATGAAAGATCTACCGTTACCAAATCTCACTTACGTGAAACAATATGAATATGATAAACGTTTCTACAGCTCACATTGCCTCTGCTTCTTAGTCATAAAACAAACAAAATACTCTTTTATACCTCCCTTGTGTGATTTATTAATCAAGGTAATGACTTTAGGAATGAGATAAAATATGCAAATTGTGAATGATCATCAGCCTGAAATTGTTTTCAGCAATAAGTGTATATCAGTTAGTGCGATTCATGTTACTATTCGGGTTGCCCAAGACGAAAGTTTTGACATTTCAAATCAACAAAGTATCTTAAGTCTTTTAACTTCCTTATGTGAAATTTTGGTATCTCAAGAGCAATGAAGTATTTTAAAGTTTTTCTAGGATTAGCATTTAGGAGGCACATACTAATTGGATTTTTAAAGTTACAACACTTAAAATGGTAGCATCAGTAATCATGGATGAGAAACTTAGGACTAAGTTTTAACTAGAAGATTTGGAAGTAAGGTTTTTTTAGGTTTTGAGATAAGTAAAGGCACTTTAATGAAAAAATAAAAGTATAAATAAATATTCAAGGAGAGTTAACAAGACGAGACTGTACCTTTTAAAGAAATATATAGTGTTGTCTCTGGAGAAGACACGATTGCCCCATTTGTAAAAGGAAAGCTGGTGCTTTCGGCAAACACACTTGTTAATGTTATACATCCCCAAACCAGTAAAATATGGAAACGTTTACTAATGTTTCCTACTGACCTTTTGCTTCTGGTTTTCATTGTAATGTCCACTAGAAAAAGAAGAAGCAGAAGAACTTTTTGAAAGTCCAAAAAAGGATGTTTTTCTTTCAGATGATGAATAGCTTGTTGATGTTTCTTTTACATAAGACCAGCTACTGTTGTAAAATTCATAATTAAAGTCATTATTTATTTTCACCTATAAAGAAAATGAAAAGGTTTGCTATAAGCAGATGAAGATTTGGACATAATCAAGAATCTTTTATCATAGACACTTTCATATGGATACTTTCTTCATACAATCTCCAAAGGACTAAGGTCTTCGCTAACACAAAGCCGTGGTGTCTGTCCTTAAGACCAGGCCTGTGGGAGTATAAGGAACAGAGTTCATTCTGTAATGACTCTTCGTTAAGCAAGAGACATGGTATCAATAATGGCAATTTCACATGATTCACGAAATACATCTGTGTACAAACATCTTCCATTTTCCTTTGATGCTAATGTTTGGCCCCGAAGTGAACAAAGTAACAAGGCTACAATTAAAAAAGTATAAAACATTTGGTTCTTGATTGTTTTATTTATTTATTTATTTTTGCCTAACAGAGAAGAACAGAAATAGAAATAGGTTATATGAAGCAATGAAAGCATTTGGATTTTGTCTTGGAATGTTCTGTGTGATCCAGTAGCAGGTTTAACTCTCCAAGTCTGTTATGATTTATGCAAGCAAGCCTCTTAGCCACTTAGGTCAGCATCTCCTCACTCCCACGCCCTCTACACACAACTGCAAAAATCATCTTTTTTCAAAGTAGTATAATCTTAAATTTTCCTTAATACTTCTCTCCCCCCAGCTTAGATTCTGGGCTCCCTCTGAAATCACAAATTCAAACATCCTACACTGTAACACCGCTTACTCGTTTGACCCTCATTCTATTGTTTCTCTGTCATTCAGCTTCACAGACAAGCTCATCAATTTCTCTTCCTTTCTTTTCTCCTTATCAGCACCTTCACTTTTTCACCTCTTTCCTGTTGCAGTTATGACTTCAACCATTCTCTTGCCAATGAACTTAACTTCCTTGCATATGTGTGTCTGCCATGATGTTTGTCTGGCCAACACCCGACCTTGGTTCACTGCTTGCAGCCAAACTGCTTAGCCCCACCGTAGAAAAATCACACAACTCTAGGTCGCCGCCCCTGTAAGTCCATTCATGATTTCCAGCCTCAGTGGAACCTTCAACACAGTCTAGCAGTCCTATATTTCTCTATTCAATGTTTTCTGTCTCTCCCATTTCCTACAGTAACGGTTCCAGAAGTTCTGCAACTACCTCCATCCTCCAGCCTTACAACCATTTCCTTTCCTCTAAGAAGATGAACTGAACCTCTTTCTTTACAAACACCTCTGTCATCAGACAGAGTCCTCTTAACCTTCTGGCTAACCCAGCTACACAGTGATTGACGTTTCTTCTTTCCCTTTCTTCCACAAACGTCTCTCCTCCCGTCTAAGGCTAACTTCTCTGTCTCTTCTCAGTATTCATTTCCTCCCACCTCTTCAAAGGACATATTTAGTTGAGTATTCCCTCCCCTACAACGTCAACTTTTCTTTCTCTACCGTCTCATTCCTAGCAACACTTACACGTACTCTAACCCCATCAAACTGCAGGGACCCTGGAGTCACATGCACTTCCAGAGTCCAGGCCCCACGCCTGCCGTCTGCGACCTCTATCTATGATCAGGGCTACGTGTTTCAGCACTGCTTTGCCTCGGTTTCTTCAGCTGTAAAATTGAAATAACAGTACCTACTTTGAGTTATTCTAAAGAAGAAAATCGATGTAAAGCACTTAAAATCATTCTTCACATATAAATGCTTCTTCATGCACATACTTTTATTATTATTTAAATGACTGCTGGTTAACAAGCTAGATTTAGAGATCTCAGACATCTCAACAGAGTTTAAACAGGGGACGCAGAAGATAAAATAATTAAGCCGTAGCTAAAATTGCTTTTAGAGTATGTTTTTGTTATTCACTTGATATGCAGGTAGGATTTCTCTTCAAAATATAATAAAGAACATTCAAGGCCAAATACAGTAAGACCCGGGAAGTTATTTATTTTCTCCACCCTAATCTTCTACTCACAACTCATTTCGTGCTGAGAGTCAGTACCAATCTTTCGGCCGCCTCCCAGGGTCAACTAAGCAGACTGACCCCTCCCAGAGGGAGCCTGGGGCAGGAATGTGCTTATGTTTCAAAAGCTCCCTTGTGGTGGGAAACGCAGGAGGAATGAGAAATTACGCCTCAGCAAAAGCAAGCGGCTGACTCTGGGTTTGCCCTGAATAAACTCTAATGCTGATAACCAAAACAGAGCTTCTAACAGAGGTCTACTGATTCTGTTATACGATTATTTACTAATGTTTACATTCCAACAAACCAGAGGTTACCTTCTGCCTTGTCGAGAGCTGACCCCCGTGGCCCGAGGTCAATCTCCGAACTGTGGAGGATGGTCACCAGCCCACACCCCTCCTGGGTTTAGCACTTTGACGACTGACCCGCTGCCCATTGCTCCCTTCTCGCTTCCCCGAGGCTGGATCCTCAAAACATCTACATTCTTCACGACCAACAGCCTATAATTCCCCTCCATGGTGACAAACAACTACAAATCCAGTGACTGGAAAGGTGTTTAGATGTCAACCCAAGCACCAAGCCATGCGGAGAAAAACCAATGTCAGGACGTGCGGTTCCCAGATCATCCCTCGTCTTCAGAAGCTGGGGACTCCGGCACGCCTGCCTTCCAGCCACGTCACAAAGTCTCTTCCTTTCTATTCTCATTGTTCTGTAACTTCCTGAATTACACCCAAATACATACATACTTGTTTTCATTTCTCCCTCTTAGAATTATGACAGAATTATCAACACATCCTCCTACAAATAGAAAGAGAACATTTCCTCTACAAACGCCTATCTCACATTCTCCCTTCCAAGCACAGGTTAAATTTGAATATTAGCCCTGGCTGGCATAGCTCAGTGGATTGAGTGCAGGCTGCAAACCAAAGTGTGGCAGGTTCGATTCCCAGTCAGGGCACATGCCTGGGTTGCAGGCCACGGCCCCCACCAACCACACATTGATGTTTCTCTCTCTCTCTTTCTCCCTCCCTTCCCTCTCTAAAAATAAATAAATAAAATCTTTAAAAAAATTTTTGAATATGTATTATTCACCATGTAGAATTTAGAACTGAAGTACAATGAAATACAATGCACTGGGAGAGTAAAATATAGTAGAAAAATAAGGGGCTGCTAAGTTTGACAGGCTGGATCCAAACTCTACTGCTTAATGATTTTTGTGACTTCAAATAAACCAGCTAAAGTCCTCTCTCTGGGCCTCAATTTCTACATGGATAAAATTATACAATATCACTTGTCTTCCGAAGACATTGTGAGGAGCACACCTATACAAATTGACAAAAATAGTGCAGGTGCCACAAGAGATATTCAAATTGGTAACTATGACTATTTTCTACATCGGTTTCATGATTCAATAACTCTTGAATGTAATTTCTTCTGTTGTGAGTTGGAGGATGGTGAGATCGCTGTTCATAATCAAAACTGCTTTCTGGAGAGGGTTAATTTTGATAAACAAGGGTCCTTCTGTCTGAATATCCTAATCATTTCAGTTTACAAACTTTGAAATAATAGGTAGGAAGCAATGAATTGGAAATTTGGGGCATTCTGGGAAGAAGGGAGGAAAGCACTAAGAGAGGAGAACTTGGAAGAAGACAGCAAGGAAGAGGCCAAGAAGAAGAGCAACTGTGAACCTGCTCAGTGCCTCCAGGACAAAATAAAAGCAATCTCCGCAGTTGGAAGGAAGGAAGGAAGCAAGCAAGCAAAGGAGGGAGAGAGGAAGGAAGGAAGTGAGGGAGAGAGGAAGAGGGAAAGGAAAGGAGAGGAGGAAGAAAAAAAGGAAGAAAGAAAGGAAGGAGCTAAATCAGGATGAGACCGGAAGTTCATGTAGTTGAGCTTGTGGAAGGACAAATGTTTTAAGACAAAGGATGCCAACTGTTTTTGTTGAATGTGTTTGCACTACTGCAACAGAAAAATTTCTCCCCTATATTACCCACAAATCTTCAGGAATGTGCTCCAAAGCCCTAAATGCTTTTGCATCAGTAGATTTTGTGCTAAAATCAAGGAAGAGGGTGAGCTTCAGTGTATCTGATAGAAAGAGCATGTGAAAAAGCAGAAGCCTGGAGCCGGAGGAGAGTCTGACTGAGGCCGTCAGCGAAATATAAAAGGCAGGTAATGCGGACCACATCAGGAAGGGCAGGAAGCGCAGAGCACTCTTCCACACTGCTGGCGGGCCATCAATTGGCACATGTCGGAACCTTTACCTAGTAAAGCATGTTATAGACCAGGCAGCACCTTGAGTTCCAGGAGTGCCCTAGAGAAATCCTCCCGCATTTGCATGGCACTCTTGCACAAGAATGCTCAAGGCATTTGCATAAGAAACTTCAGGGAACAACATTGTAAATGCCACCTACATCAGCACGAATGAAACTCAACACAATAATTTTGAGTGAAAATAAATCCATAGAAGTCTATATACTGTATGAGTTATTATATAAATGGCCAAAACAGCCAAAACTAAATCACAAATTTTTAGAGATGAAGACATAGGGGATACACATATACAGAACAACAACAAAATAATTAATATAAAATATAAGATAGTGGTTGCCTGGAGAGCAGGGGTGGGGCGGGGAATTGATCAGAGAGGGGTAAATGAGAACCTTTAAGTCACTGGTAATATTCTAGTTCTTGAGTCAGGTGATGAGCATATATGGGTATTTGTTTTATTAGTTTTTTCAACTGCACGGACTTGTTATTCACACTCTCTTGTATATATGTGAAATATTTCACAAGTTAAAAATAAAAGCATTTTTAAGGGACACTGTGGCAATTCTAAGGAAATGATCGTACCAGGCACGGCCAGGGACCCGAGTTTTGACACCCACGCAGGGTCAGACCATGAGGTCCCAGGCCCACGTGGAGCAGAGGCAAAATGAAAATGAGGCAAATCGACATTTCAGCTCACATGGCACAGTCTGAAAGTACCATTGCCCAGAACTATAGAATATGTGTTCTTTTTTTTAAGATTTTATTTATTTATTTTTAGAGAGCGGGGAAGGAAGGGAGTAAGAGGGTTAGGAAGGCGAGAGGGAGAGAAACATCAGTGTGTGTTTGCCTCTCACATGGCCCCCACTGGGGACCTGGCCTGCCACCCAGGCATGTGCCCTGACCGGGACTTGAACCGGCAACCCTTTGGTTCGCAGCCCGCACTCAATCCACTGAGCCACATCAGCCAGGACGAATATGTGTTCTTTTTAAGTCCATATAAAATATTTATAAGAATGACTGCCTAACGGGCACAGGTAAACTCTCCACAAATACCAAAAAAAGGAACATCATACAATAATGATCTCTAGCAGCAAGTCCCGGGTTAGAAATAAGTAAAATCAAAGTCACGAAGTACCTGGAATGTGTAGGAGAGGATGTTCCCACTCAGTCTGTAGTAATCTCTTCCATCCCCACTGAACACCTTTCTGCACTGGCCGCCGAAACTCTTTGTGTTGAGGACTCTGTTCCTGACCTGGCCAGTGAGGGCGTTGTAACTGTTGTTTTGTTTTGTTTTTAAGGAAGAAAAGATGGCTAAAATCAGAAATAGCACTTGCTGCAAAAGGCATCATCAGAGAACTCCAGAAATACATCACAGTCAAGGATGTCTTAGAGAACAAATGATGAGAACAGCATCCCAGTGCACACCGTTCACTATCTAGCCTCCCTTGCTTGGTACAAGGGCTAAAACTGACATCTGGGAAAAGCCAACATCTCTGCAGTGTAAGAACATGTTTGGGCAACACACGGCCCTTTTGGATCTCGGGCAGCAGCTGGCTTTAAATTGAATCTGTAGATAAAGCCAATACAATTAAGATTACTCAGGGAGAGCTTTCTACAGCGAATTTCAACGGATTGTCTCTTAGCAAGTTGACTGATTGACCCTTTAGAGTAATTTTATCACTTCTCTGGCAATGAATTTTAAAATATCATAGGAAAAAAAATTACATCTATCGTTCTATAATAGATTATTTTAACGCCTTGAAATTTTAACTTGGGTTTCTGACCCTTAAACATTCTTCAGAATTTCTTTCAGTCCCAACTTTACCTGTAGATGAAATTTCTCAGCTAGTTTGAGCAATCACTTTTCAGCCTGAATATTCCCAACACACATCACCCCTTTCCCTGTTCTCATGCTACTGTCTTCATTCTCTTGAGTAGCCCTGTTTCACCGAATCAGCGCTCGCTCTCTCTCCCTCTCTCTCTCTCCCTCTCTCTCTCCCCCCCCTTCTCCCTCCTCCTCCCGCCCTCCCTCCCGCAGTGTGACCGACTATTCGGGTGTTTCCAGGGTCTGTGATGTTTACCTGGATGCAGGACTCTTGGTGCTAAAACCAGGACAGTCCAGGGACAATTGGTCACTAAATATATATATATTTACAGGTATACAGATAGGAACTAAAAGGGGGTTTCGGGATGTGGCAAAGAACTCTGAGCCGAAGACTTGACTATCAGGTGATTTACTATTCGATTTACAAAAAAAAAGCAAATAAATAAAGCAAAACCAAATGAAGACTTATAACCCACCAGTGTGCACAGGAGGTTGCCCAGCACCTTACCCTTTTCCGGTAAGTTCTATGTTGGGAGGAGGTTTATCGAGGTCACAGGAACGTCTGCTCTCCGTGTTCTCGCACTTGTCCTCATCAGCGCTGTCTTCGTCACAGTCGGAATCGCCGTTGCACACCAAGGATTTGCTGATGCACTGCCCTGCCCACGAGGAACGCCGCCACAGAAGATGCAAGAGGGAAGGAAGGAACCACCCCGTGGGGTCAGAGAGGTTTGCCTCCAATCCCCAGCGCCGTCCCCGCCTGCCAGCGTGAATTTGCCCTAAACCTTCAGCATGTCCAGGGGAAAACTGGTGATTATTTTTGTCCTCATTTGGCAACACGCAAAATTGACTCTCACCTTGGCCAGACACAAAATCGAAAATAAAACCTGAGTTCCCATTCCAGGCTTTCTCTCATGAGCAGCGGGCAGGCAGTCTGTCTGAATCCTCCCAAATCATACAGTGCCAACCACTGGGAGGGTAGTGTGCCCGCCTGCCCTCCAACTTTCGGTTTCTTTTCTGGAATCACTGACAAATCCGGCTCTTCTTGGCGATGCGGATGTGCCAGCTTGGAGAGCACAGGAACTGAGCCAAAGGTTAACACTCAGTGTTTCTGTAGCACCTACTCTGCGCAAGACACTCTTCTGGGTGTGGGGATACAGATATGGATAAAATGGGTATCTGTCAGGCTTTTAACGTCCTTTACAAAGCAACAGGAAGACTATGAAGACACAGATCACTGCCATTTAACACGGTCGTTGTCGCAGTAGACAGAAGCGCAGGGTTCTGAGGGCACACTGAAGGGCAAACAACCCCACCCCCAACCACCTCTCCAGCATCGTCTCCAGACATCCTGCCGGCTCCCCATGCCCTAGTCTTACAGGAATCAAGGCCAGGCCTTCTGTCATTGCCCTTGACCCTGCACCTACATTCTCCCAGCCTAGATGGGTTTTCTCTACCTATTACCCACTTATCTTCAAGAATCAAAGTACACACGATCTCCGCTCAGAAACCATCCCTGTCCCACAGGCTACCATGCATGCGCTTCCTCTCGTCCGCAGAGTAGGCAGGCACTGCACACTCGGTCCTGATAGCACAGCACGCACCCACTGTGCTGTCACTCAACCCAACGCAGCAACCATTTGTTGGGAGTCAGCTATGCACGAGGCACTCCAGGTGCGAAAACCCTATACAATACAGAGTGAGGCAAAAGTAGCTTTACAGTTGCTCCTATGGAAAGTACAATAATTAATAGATAAATAATAACACAAGCACCAACTCTGTATTTTGCGTGCTCACAACCGTCAACTTACTTTTGCCCCACCCTCTGTGTCTTCAGAGTTCACAGTCTGCCAAGAGACATCCAGGCCGACAAGTACTCCCGAATACAGATGGTGCAAGGTGTGCAGGGAACACAGAGAAGTGTTTGTTAATTAGCTTTATCAGTTCAAGTTTAGGGAAGGCTTCCCAAAGGAAGGGTCATTTCATTTGGGTTTTGAAAGTAAAATAGGAGTTTGACGGGTAGTGTTGAGGTGCACTTCTAACACAGAGACTATTTATGTAGTATTCTGTTCATAAAACTTTATTTTTTTAGGGAAGAGGCTATGTATTTCATTTCTAAACCCACAACCCTCCTCAGTATATCTGGAACATAACAAGAATAATAAATGTCTGCTAAAGGTTGTTGAACTAATCTGATTGCACGAATGCATCACAGACAATAAATCAAAAAATGGAAAAACTATGTTTCAACCGCCCTTGCCTTGGGGTGACCTGTATTGCTCCTTGATTAACTATCACAGTTGCTTTTCTTATAAATGTAATAATTTTGGTTGTAACATCATTTTTGCGCAATCTCAGTGTTCATGGTAGATCTTCACCAAAAATGCAATGTCAAGCACTGTTTGGGTCTGTCGGTGCTCATATTTCTTTTCAAAAGACAAAGGGTATCCCTGCTTTTATTACCATAAGCTTCCTCCTGATTTTGAAAGAATAATCGTTGAGTGTGTGATTATTATACCAATAAAAGCGACACCGATACTTGCGGGAAATTAACTTATCGGTCACTATAATTCAGTAAAATTCAACCAATAGATACTGAGCAAATCAAACAAATAGCATTCGGGTTTACACTCTGCATTGCTAACCCGGCGGAAAACGGATACCTGAAAGGCAGCGGAAGCGCTCTCCGCACCCCTCCTCCACGGGGCACCCCCGCGTGGGCTCACATGCTTGCGTCTCGAAAGCACTTCCGGCACAAGGCTGGCCGCCAAACTGCCCGTAAACCGCAATGGGCCGCCTGCGAGTCTAAACAACAAAAAAAAACAAACAGATTCCTTCGCCTGAGAAATAAAATCCGAGAAAAATCCAGACAGTTGGACAAGCAGTGTTTGGGAAACGTTTCTGGCGTCCTGCAGAAGCAAAATCTCTAAAGCAATGAACCCACAGACCCATGTATCCTTGAATCCAGTGACATTTGGATTATTATTATTACAGACTGTATGTAAACTTACTATGTGTGTTTACTATATATTTATTTACTATATACATTTACTGTCTGGAGTAAGTAGTAAATATATATATATATATATATTAGTGAATCTTTAAGAAAGCAACCTGAAAGTGTTAGCTGGGTAAATATATATGCAAATAGACCGCAATGTCGAATGACTAATTTTGGCCAAAGCTGTGTACCAAAAGCTAATTGGAAAAGCGACAATGAATTTGGCTGGAGAGCGGGGAATGGCATTGGGAAGGGGGTTGAGATGAAATGCAGTTATGGAAAATTTTAGAAAAGTGGCAGCAATTGAGTTGAGGTAAATGCTAACCTATTTCAGGAAGGCCAGGCCAGGCCAAACAATCCAGAAAGAAGTATGTTAATAGAAGCTTAAGTAGTCCAAAGGTGAAGCTACATCTACAAAGAAATTTTATGAGGTAATCAAAATCACTGACTTCTCAAATGGAAAAACAGGTTAAAAGCAAACTTCTGTGGGGGGAAATAGGGGACATTGAGAACATCGTCAAGCCAAGCAAGAAACAAGTCATCCTAAAAGGCACTAATCAGAATTAAAACATATTCAATGTTTAAGCAAAAGAAAGATCTACAAAATCCTCCCCCCACCAGCCAAGGCAATGAAAGGTACATCTTTTATGCTCAGCTCTTCCCTATTAATAAAAATGAACTCCATCAGAGATTCCAGAAAGTTTAAACTGTGAGCAAAAACCAACAGCGAAGAAGAGATAGGTTGAATCTATTTGTCCATCTTAAACTGGGTCAGAAGTGGGGGCGAAGGGTCACCGGCGTATGATTCGAACTCCGAGCACTTTTCCATCAGCCTGGGCACGGCTCTGGCATTTTTCAGTGGGGAATGGAACTCAGTACCAGTTTCTGGATAAGTTGGTAGTTTCTGTATTTAATGGATGAAGACAGCTCTCATGTTTGGCTTATTAATTTGACGTTCCCTGAAGTTCCGAAGCACAGATTGTGTTGTTTGTACATGTAACATTTTCCCCACTATCTACCAGCACCACTTTGATGACAGTCTATTCTCACCATCCCATTCTCACCTGTCACATCTGACCTTATGACCCCTTTTTCATTTTCACCTGCCTCTTTCTCAATGAAAATTTTGATTTTATAAACCAGGGATGAATCTACTGCCTGATGACCTTTGCTCAAAGGGAAAAAAATTGCTAACATGAAAAATATGTCCCATCTACTTGTCTTCAGTGTTCTTTCCTAAATTACACAAAGTTGTCTGTGGTTAGTTTTAGTGGATGTTTGCCTTGTCATTGGTGTGCTTTTCAGCCTGTAATCAGAGTTGTCATCTGCTATATTTCCCAGGAGCCACATTCTGCATTTGTGTGACTTATTTTGTGACTAACACTCATGAAGGCACTAAATATATGCGCTTGATGAAAATGGTGATTATGATGATGCTTCAAAATTATCTTCTGCAATATGTTTCTGCTGTTCTAATAATTAAAAAATAAAATTTAAATACATATTTTATCCAAACAGAATCACCTCTAGAATATTTTACACATATCAACTAATGTTGTGCACCTGAAACTATTATAATGTTACATGTCAATATAGTTCTATAAAAAATATTTAAACATTCAAATACTCAGAAACTTTAAAACAAGCATTATAGTTTTGGAATTTAGTCTAATAAAATTATCAGAAAAGAGAATATATAACTATGTATAAAAATGTTTATTAGCCCTGGATGGTGTGGCTCAGTGGATTGAGCACCGGACTGTGAAGCAAAGGGTCTCTGGTTCAATTCCCAGTCAGGGCACAAGACTGGGTTGTGGGCCAGGTCCCTGGTGGGAGGGCGTGCAAGAGACAATCACACATTGATGTTTCTCTCCCTCTCTTTCTCTCTCCTTTACCCTCTCTCTAAAAGTAAATTAAAAAATCTTTTAAAAAATGTTTATTGAAGTTTTCTTATAATAACCAAAAATGTAAATAATCTAAATATCAAACAATAGGTAGTAGATAAATAACTTTGGTGTATTTATATAAGGGAATGTAATACAACTGTTCAAATTCTTGCTAATAGTATGTTAGGTTAAAATGATAGAGCACAAAACTATGATCAAATAATCCTATTTTTATAAATCATAAACTAACAAAGAAAATAATATGAGAGAAATAAATATCAAAATGCTGGTATATTAGTTTCTTCTAAATGGTGGAATTATAAACTGTATTTTCTTTATCTATACTTTTCTGTTTTTTCTCCAATAAATAATTTATAGCAAGAGAAAAAGCGGACATTTTTAGAAGTACTCAACAATCTCTAGATCAGATCTGGTATTTTATTTGTGTTACTTAAAAATTAAGCTTTAAAACATTGCAAAATGGTTGATTTTTCATGGCCATTCACCATTTGTCAGACAAAACAAGGCAGTAATTTTGCTACTTGTTAGTGTTTATTTGAAAGAAGAAGAAAAATCGAGGCCACCACCTCCCAGGATGAGAGGAAGCAGGAGACGAGGCCCCGTGGCCGGCGCTGAGCTTGCCCGCAGCCCGGCTCTGATCCCAGCTGGGTCCAGAGTTGTGCCCAGACCAATTTCTGCATCAGTGTTAGCTCTCTCAACCAGAGGCGAGGACCGGAATGGGCTCTCAGTATCTAACGGGGCCCCGAGTCGGGTGTCGCGGCCAACGCACAGGGAGTTTCGGACCAGTGCCATCAGCAGAGACGTTGATGCTGCCGCCAAACGCGCTGGTGCAGGTGCGGCAACAGCAGGAGTGGCTGGTTCTGGCGCTGGGATTGAACGGTTTTGGCAGCCTTGTCATTGCTTATGCCAGAAACCCTCGGCCAAAGCTGCGGCTGTTCTCATAGACCCTCCTGCCGTTTGCCTTGTCTGAAACTATGGGTCGGTCTCTTTTTGTCTGATGGTTACTTTCTGGAAGTTGTTTGCCATGTAACAGACATCACTGCTTGAGCCCTGGCTGGGGAAGGTCAATTGGTGAGAGCTCATCCCCATACACCAAATTTGCAGGGTCAATCCCAGGTCAGGGCTCATGTGAAAAAATCAACCAATGAGTGCTCAAATTGGTGGAACAAGAAATCAATGTTTCTCTCTCTCTCTAAAATCAATACAATTGTTTAAAAATTATAGCCAAAATGTTGACATTCATATTGACTATTAATGTAATTCTATGTACCTGAATGTGACTCCAAACACCACACTATTGGTGTCATACAAATATACATAATTTCCAAAGTCATTTCATTACAAATGAAAACTTTTTTAAAAAGGGAAAAAAATAGAAGCCAGTAAACATGAAACAGATTTTGAATTATCTACTAATTTCATTTCATGCTATTCTTATTTCTCTAGTAGCTCAAGGGTTAGTGAGTTGCTTTTAATTGTTACCCTACACATATTTCTAGGCTCAAATATAAGATTTATAAAAGTTCTGTGAGAAAAAATTAGAATGCAAAAATTACTTTACTGCAAATTTAATTACTATACAAGTTATACTTCTTTTCCTTCGAAATTACTAATTATAATTTCAAGGAACAGAAATAGCACTCAAAAGTTAATGCCAGTCTGTCTATACCTAAGCTATTTCAGCACATAAGTAATAAATACAAATTTTCTGCATGGTCCTACCTGAGACTTCGTGCAACCGTTGCATTCCGACCAAGGGCCAAAGGAATCCCACTGGCAGTTGACTGGACTGGCGGGGCTGTCCAATGGGTCATCATCGTGCAGGCAGAGGGGGAAGCAAGAGGGCACACAAACATTGGCCAAGAATACTCAAAAACAGGCAAATACAGTTAAAAATTGCTTCACAGTTCTTTTCCTCAGAGAAACCAAAAGTATCCAAAACTGTATTTTTTAAAAAATGTAAAAAGAGACCCCCTTTTTTGGAGATTAATGTTTATTGAACACCTATAATGTATCAGGCACTATTTAGACGCTGGAGTTGTAGACATATTAAAAGAGATAGGTCACAAACCACGGACAGAGGGGAGGACTAAGATACAAATGCATAAACAAATAACCATGATAGAATAACACAGCCATAATTCATACTACAGTATATGTAATTTGAAAGATTCCATAACAAGTGTGGACACTGTGATGTTTCAAGGAAACATAGACACGGGAGTGTCCGGAGTTCAGAGGTATAAGGGAGAACATGAAGGAGGAAGGGGTTATGGTCTTCAAAAGGATTCTGGGTGATGAATGGGAGAGTTCTTCAGAACCTCTTCCAGGAGTGCTCACACCAGGAGCGCTAAGTGAGAAATGGGGTACTGAAAACTGGCCAAGGCTGAGTGGACAGGAATTTATTTTTAAAAGCTCCCCTGTTCATTTAGGTCACTTCTGAAGCACACATCCATAGAGGGGAAATTCAAGCTTAAATAATTTCACTCAAAAAAATGCATGTGGAAAATAGGGAGTTGATGCTCATGCAAGACGAAACTCCAGCTGTGTCATGGCTTAGGCCGAAGAAGTTAACGCAGCCTCACCTTAAAGCACATTGACAACAGGTGAAGGAAAGAAGCCTCCTGACTTCTGGAGTTTGAGCACATTTCTAGCCCTGGAAACATCGCAAGTTAAGGTGATCTGCGCTTATCTCAGGCCGTCAGGCAACTTTAAACGTAAGGAGACCCAGTCTGCCATCGGTGTGCCTCGGTGCTTCTGCGGAGCCAACCTTGCTGACCTGCAGTCTTGACGTGGCACCAGTGATCCAAATGCCTTGGACTCGTGGACCCTTGAACAATCTGAACTCTCTCTTTTTCTGGTTTGGGCCCCGGGGACGGCTGCAGCGCAAACACTGAGGCTTAGTAACAGACGCTGGCTTGGCCGGAACCTGTCTGTGCTCCCCACGCTCCCCACCTTGTCCAGGCCCCTCGAGGAGAGAGCCCCCGAGCACGTTTGTGCTGAAACCACCGCTTTCCAGCTCCGAGTCACGCCGCAGACTCTCAGCACTGGCTCAGCCCTCCTTGCGTCCCCAGTCACTAGCACAGAGCCTGACACATATTTGGATAGTTTGATCAAGTGAACTGACCCGGTCTGGTCCCACCAAACTGACTGAAAGCAAAGCAAGGCCATTGGTAAATGATGCTGCTTTTTTCCAGGTTTCAAGAGCCAATAAAACTAGTTTCTTAGAAAACTCTCAACCTTTAAAATCCAAAGGATGTTTTGCAGAGACTGTATGTAAAGATCAGACTCTGCTCCGAGCTGTGTAGCGCAGCTGAGCTTCTCTGAAATGCAGGTAAAACCGTGCAACTGGGACAAGCACAAGACCTCGAGGTGCTTTTCATCTTCAGCTCTCTTCCTTACAGTGAATAAAACAAAGTAAGAATAAGAATAAAACAAGCTTTTGCTTGTTGAAAAGATAAACATACTCAGGCTGCAATGTAGAAATCACCATGCTAAAGAATTTCCTAAAAACAAACAATTTTTTTAACGATTTCCACACACAATTCAAAAAATTCTTACCTTGAAAAAACTGGGAACTCTCCTATAAATCCCACCAAGATGAATAAACTTATTGCCTGGGGAAAATAAAAGCATTATTTTAGTTTGCATTACTTTCATGAGTTGAAAGCAAATTCCTTTGTGCAAGTCAAGATTTGTGGTTCAGGAATACAAAGAGTGAGAGAACCACAGAAAAGGCTTGATGACTCAACTTGTCTTTTAAGTTCCCGGTTTAAAAGAAGGAGCTCCTACCCTTTGCGACAGCATGGATGGAGCTGGAGAGCATTATGCTAAGCGAAATAAGCCAGGCAGTGAAAGACAAACACCATATGATCTCACCTTTAACAGGAACCTAAACAACAAAACAAACAAACAAGCAAAATATAACCAAAGACACTGAAACTGAGAACAGGCTGACAGTGTCCAGAGGGGAGGGAATTTCAGGGGAATTTCAGGGAAAAAGGGGAAGGGTTTACAGGAACAAGTATAAAGGACACATGGACAAAAACTAGGGCGGGTGGAAATGAGAGGGAGGTGGGGAGGGCTGGGTGGGTGGGCTGGGATGGGAGTAAAAGATAGAAAATTGTACTTGAACAACAATTAAAATAAAATTTTAAAAAAAGATTGGGAGCAAGGAAAAAAATAAGTGTTTAATATAATTCTGTTCAGCTACCTCTGCGATTCATTTCTGTAAGAACAGCTAGGAGCTGGGCGATGTCATGCACAAATTAAAAACTCTCACTAGAACGAGAAACTGTTGCAAGCATTTCTTTACGTTCCCATGATCTTTGCATTCCTTTCTCCACTGTCCATCTCTCTAACTTCAACACCCATGAGCACAGCCAAAGGGGAAAATTCCGGAAGACAGTGTAGCGCCCAGGGATGAGGAGTTAGAGGGGGAATAAACTTCATCAACGAAGAAGCAGAACCGGAGACACGGCCCCGTCCAGAAAGGCGGCGATGCGCATCCTACTCCTTATCGGCCTTTGAAAGCCTCTGAGGCCTTTGATCCTCGTCTTTCCCTGAGAACACCCGCTAAACATTGTGTGTAAAACCTCACTACCAGCAGGCACACTTTGTTAGAAAAGTCAGATGTGTATCGAGAAGAAATCTAAAAAGAAATCGGACACAGGATAATCGTTTATTTCCGGTTGTGAAATTGCAGGTGATTTCTATCACCTTACTGTTCCTTTTAAGAATCTTCCTACTTCATGTGACAACTGAAGGTGCAGGGAACACAGCTCACATCTTTACTGGAGGTGCTCTGAGCCTATCAAATGCATTCCGTTCATAACCCAGTTTAACCAATTTAAAATCATCTTATCCCCTCAGGTTAACAGGCCAATATTCTTTCTCTTCTGCCCCCAAACTCTTTTCTGTCACTGCTGCTGGGGAGTGGCTTCCCAACATTTTCCTCGGGGCCTTCCTTTCACCCTCCGAGACCCCCGTCCTCATATTAGGTATCTTCCTTCAGTTAAAAATCCTTCTCACCTACCTCTACCTCTGTCTTCCGTACTTCTACGCGTCCTCTTGCCTCTCATTCTGATTGGCACAGCCGAGGAGCTGTGAGCACTATGGAGATGAGTAAATTGGCTGGGGGGCGGGGGGTGCAGGGGGGAGGCTGGGACACATCCTGAGTTTTCATGGGAAGCACAGAATATAAAGCAACACCTCTTAAAGGTTTTTTTCCCCCTAATTATAAACTACATTTTTTTTCTTTTTTCAATATGTCTCTGTGTTCTCAATTTTCCTGCCCCTGGGAATGCTTGTCTCATAGCTTTATGAGTCACTTCCAGGGATGAACAAATTTTCAGAAAATAAAAATTGTGGAACAACTGAATAGTCAAATTTCAATGTACCATCCGATTTTAAATTTCTCTCCTATTCCCGGTGCCTAGATGCTTATAAACGGGGAGGAGTGATCGTCTGCTTGTCTTCCCCACCCCAACCTACCCCCACCCCAAGCTGCCTCTATCTTCTTCAAAGTCAGAGCCACAGCAGTGAAAGAGGAGAGAGCCCCCCAAAACTTCTTTGAATTATTAGATTCATTGGGGTGGCATTGCTTGACTCATTCAGCGGGGGGCTGGTGATGGTAAATCGGGGGGTGTTGGATGTTCAAACACCAGTTCTTTGCCTCTCACAGCGTTTTCATGGTTTTTTTGGATGCCGCCCCTCCCCCCACCCCCACCGGAGATGGGGATCTACAACCACTGGTCTCCGGTAGAAATGCTTCATCTTCTTGGCTGTCACTCTGACTCTCAGCGGTGCTGCTCCCTGGGGCCGCTCCAGTGCTGAGGCCGTCTGTGCGCATCGCCTTCCCCGCAGACAGCCTCTCGGGCAGAGGCCACATCTGGCCGGTGAGATGCCGCAACAGGCTCTCGTTCTCGCCGGTGCTCAACGGCCACGACGCACCTGCTACCGCCGTGGTAGCTTGTTCTGCTAAAGGCAGGTCGGTCAACCGGCCCGTGCCTTTAGATTTTCTCAGATGTGAGGAGGTGTCATTCTCTACATCCTTCACACTCAAAGGGACACAGTCTTACATAGTCTCGAGGATGGAGGTGGCCGAAGGACACTAGACAGATTCAGGGCTCCTCTTTCTGTAAGACTGCACTGAATGTCTAATACTTCACTTTAACATGGGGGCTCACTGAGCACTTACTGTTCTTGGCCTCTGACTCCCAGCCAAATCAGGAATCATGAAAAAAATCTTTTTTTTTTCAGATTCTGTTACATATGTCTTAAAAGGATTTCAACTATAATTTAGGGAATATCTTTTTTCCATCAAAAATGCCCTTGACACCACCTTCCCCATATACATACTACTTACTATAACCCACGAACACCGGCTTATTACAAAGTCAGTTTCTGTTCATGAGTGACACAACCTGAATCTAATGACCAAAAGAATTTCTTAAGAATTTGCTAGCTGTGGACCAGAAAATGAAGCAATTGTCATTTCTTGCCTTTGGAAAGAGTGTCTTACCAAAGGGACACATTAGAAGACACATTAAAGACAAAGATAGACATACAGCTGCATTGACTCTATAAAAGAATTACCTAGTCGAAAAGACGTGATGTCCTCATTCTGTGTGATATGGTGAAGTTGGAACTACATTTCCCAGAATTCTCTCTTTCATTCTTTCTTATCACTGCCTGAGCATTAGTGCTACTTCCTTCTTCTAACCTGTTCCAGCTACAACCACCATCTCCATCCTCCTAATTTCTTCAAGTCTGGTCATGTGTGTTTGTCTATTGAACCATGAGCACATTTGGGGTAAAAAATAAAATAATTTCTGTAGCATACACTGGGTTTCAATGTCCACTTTTTTAAGTAGGAAAAATCAAAGTTAACTTATTAGCATTTCCTAATATTTAATATCTTGGTCAGTACATTTTTGAACATAGGGCACCATTTAAATGAAGAAGTTAGATTTTAACATCAATTTACTTACATCTTTATTAGAAATAAACATCAATTTGCAACTCTTCTAACAATAAATGCACAATGGTCCAATAATATGATTGCGTACTCCAGAGCCATTGGAAGGACGTGATAGATTCTAATGACAGGAGAACACGCTCATGATATAATGACTAAGAAGACCCAGATTTGTTTTGACAGCAATTTAATAAAGTATATTTTGTACATGTTCATATAAAAGTCTGAAAAGAAATGGATTGAAATGCTAATAGTGGTGACCAGTGGGTGGACAAATAATATCTGTTATCTTCTCTTTTAACTTATTTTTCCCAGTAAGGTAGTATTGTAATATGGAGAAAGACATGTTTTTTTAAAGATTTATTTATTTATTTTTAGAGAGGGTTGGGAGGGAGAAAGAGAGAGAGAGAGAAACATCAATGTGCGGTTGCTGGGGGCCACAGCCTGCAACCCAGGCACATGCCCTGGCTGGGAATTGAACCTGCGATGCTTTGGTTTGCAGACCGCACTCCATCCACTGAGCTACGCCAGCCAGGAAAGACATGTTTTTTAAAGGCACACATACCAACACCGTCTGATGAGCGAAGACATCTGAGAACATCAGATCAACCCCGGGTGCAGAGAGAGAGCGGAGAGGCCCTGACTTGAGACATCGTGGTGCTGGACCACACGCCAGCCCCAGGAGAATCAGGCCTGAGGTTCACAAACCCCGGGTTCATCTCAATCAGGGGAGGAGATCGTAAAAGGCTGGGCCACAGCTGGGTCAAAGGGAAGCCCTTTTTGCTCTGAAACATTTCTGAAGCACTTCAAACTCAAGTTATCTCCTAACCAGTGGACACAGAAAGAACCAGGGGATTCTGGGACGACCTCCCTGAATTTCGTTCCCATGGCTGGGAGGACAGGGCAAAAGCACGCTGCCCCTTAAAAGGCCAGACCTGGAAATCATTTTTGGTGTTGTCTTCAAAGCCCAAGTTCCCCTTCTCTGTAATGTATCACAAAAGTATTCCCTTCAGGTTTGTTCATAAAAAATATGAACAAGTACTTTCAAATACAGAATTTTGTATACCACTTTCAGGGAAATAATTACTTTATTGTCATGGCAGAATAATACTATAATAATCAATGACTGTAGGCAAATTTTAAAAAACAAAACAATTATTAAGATGTCTCATTATAAAATAAAGAAATTGGCTTATGTCTAATAAAAATATTAGGAGGAGATATATTAGCTAGATGACCCCAAGAAAAGCATCATATTGTTTCTGAGCTAACAAATATCCTAAAATTTTAAATAAAAAATACAAGACACTAATAAAAATTAGATGTTACCATAATTCTAACTTTGTAGGGTTACTTGGTATTCCAGCATCACAACATTGGGCAAATTAGCTTTGTGATTGTGTTTAATTTTTAGTCACTTAAGTCCAGGTCTGAGCTCCCCCAGAGCCATCGTCCTGCCCTGCTCCAGCCCCATCGGACATGGAACACAGATTCCCCATCACAAATGGACAGCAAAGCGACCACAAAGGCAACCTAGCAGCTGATAGGACTGAGGAATTCTTGTGTTGGCATTATATTGCAAAACTTTTAAAGTTTAAAAACCAAAGTTTTCAATAAGAAAAGTATAATAGCAATTTCCAGTTATTTTTGCATCCCAGAAATATAGTCAGAGAGTGATTTCTGTCTTTGGTCCTCTCATTGGTTGAGTAGGAATTTTTTTTTTATCATGTGGCCATTTTGCATTGGGCCACCGTGTGTATTTGCTAAACCTTTAGTTTCATTCCAACTACCTGTGCCGTCCACTGTCACAGTCCTGACCCTCTGAGATTCCGAGTCTCTGAAGTCTCTTTTTTCAATGAAGCTGTCACAGAAGTCAGATCACAGGGGCTCGCTGCCTGGCTCCAAATCAAACACACAAAAATCCACTGGAGGGAATTGTTCCCTAAGAAGTAACAGTGGTACTATTGTATTTCCTAATGGCTTTCTCGGGTCTTTCATAAACATTGTCCCCAGTTTCTGACTCCCAGACCTCTGAACCGATCATTTAATCCCAGGTCAAGGAAAAGGAACCTGCTTTGGCTGACCTGTTAAATGTATTTAAGGATTTTAAAAATCACCTCTATCTTCCCTGTTTTCCATGTCCTCTCCTTATTTGAGTTATTCCCACTATGCCTTAGTCTTACGTGCGACAGCTCTGTTTACAAAAGGAAGGAAATAACGATCTCACCTCCATGGTGGGGAACACATTCAGGGCAGGGGAGAGGATGGAACCTCCTCCTGTGCGTGCCCGGTGAGTTCTCAGCGGCTGAGGAGCCCAGCAGAGCGCGCCCTCCCAGGCTCGCCCTCTGTGCTGGGTTAGGGCTGCGCCTGGTCCACTTATATAGACTCAGCTCCCACCCCAACCAGACTCTCCGAGAGAGAGAGAGAGAGAGAGAGAGAGAGAGAGAGAGAGAGAGAGAGAGAGAGAGAGAGAGAGAGAGAGAGAGAGAGAGAGAGAGAGGAGCCTGCCCCTGGGATTAGTCCGGGTCTTGAAGCCAGATGCATTGTATCAATCTGCAGAGGCTGAGCTCCAGCCAGCTGGGGCTGGTTGCATACGGAGTTTTGAAGAAACATCTGTAAATCAAGAAAGGCAGAGAATGTTCTCCGTTCAGCGTTTAAGTGCTTCTCAACCAAAGGAGGCTGTGTGTGAGACAAGGAAGAAGCCTTCATCCTTTATCAATCTACTAAACTGAGCGAACATTTACATGATTTTTTTTTTTTAAAGGGTGTTACACGCCAGACTTAGAGATTAAACACTTTGTGGGAGAAAAGATCTAAATGCAGTTCTGTCACTCAAAATGTAAATGGAACATTCTGGACTGGAAGCCTCCCCAACCCGCCCCCCCCAAAAGTATATATGGTCTAAAACAATACGATAACCCATACCCATCCTCCATGCTTGACGTTCACAGAATGATCAAAAAGAACATTGGTTTTTGTGGGGTTTTTGCAAATATGTTAAAAGGCACCACTAATTTTTCCAAGAACTGCCCGTATCCTTTGCTAGCCAGACCACTGTGTCTGAAAATTCTTCTCACAGTCACCACCCAGGTCCGTTTTCTCTTCCTCAGCTGTCGCCTTGCCTTACTCTGCCGGATCCGCATTTTTCGTGGCTTTGCATTATTCTAGCAGCTCTCCAGCGTTGCTTTCACAGATTTCATGAAACACTGCATGTTTGGTAAGAGTTTCTCGGCTTTCTAGTAAGCTGAGCTACAGTTTTCTTTGCGTGGTTTGGCTAAACAATCTGACACTTGCTGTGGGGTGTTAGGAGTAGGAGAGACACAAATGCTAAGTGGGAGAAGACATCTAACATAGAACTGGGAATGGAGGCATCTTCGGGAAGAAGTGCCGTGGAAAGGGACAGAGGTAAAGCCACGGGCATGAGGAAACATGGCCGGAGGGTCCGGAGACTGATCACAGTGAAGTACAAAACCACAAGAAATGCTGCTACTCGGGGAGCGAGAAGACGGAGGAAAGCCAGGCAGGAGAGAGGGAGAGGGTGCAGACGAGAAGGAAAATGAGCGCAGGGCACATAGAGCCCACTGGGGAGAATCTCGGGAGAAGCGTGGGGGCACTATGCAGAGGTCAGAGAGAGGGAGTGCTGATGCAGACCACCCCGCCCGGCACGTACAGCATCGTGCCTGAACTGAGGGCAGAATTCCCTCAGGATGTATTTCCTGCTCTGTGCTGCAAGGCCCTTGAGAATCATTAATTTTGAAGTTAACCAAGATTAAGAGGTTGTGTGTGTTATGGAGCAGAGTTTCTTGGCAGCTGAATTATGGGGCCGTTGGGCCTTATCATCCCCTGTTGGCGGAGGGGGTGAGAGGGAGCTGCGCAGTGCACAGAGGACACTCAGCAGCTTCCCACGAGACGACAGGAACACCCTCCACGGTTCCGGCAATCACAAATGTGTCCAGACATTGCCGGAAGTCCCCTGGGGGCAAGGTCACACCGGCCTCCGTTGAGGAGCACTGGGATATGTCTCCTCCTGGCAAATGCCCAGGCTTCGAGTCACAAGCACAGTGCACAGTGCGTTACAGAGCAAATGTTCGGGAAGTTCTGCAAATTAAATGCATGGCCATTTAAATGTCCTGCAAGTTCGACACCAAGTAATACTTTTTTTAACTTTTCTCAAACCAGAGTTTCCCAGATTCATGTGACCACAGAACTTGCATTTCTAACAACCCCCCAAAAGTGGTACTGTACCATGCTCCAGTAAGTGATATCTTTGCCCAAACTGAATGGGTAGAGGGGAAAGCAGGTTTCTGCTGGTCTGGGGGAGGGTCCTCAAGGGCCCAGCGCTTTCCCCAACTCCTGCTACAACACACCCCCTTTTCCCAGTTAGTCTTCACTTTGCTTGGTGGCACCTCAAAATCTGTTGACAGCCCTAGACCCTAGTAAAACTATTAAGACCACTGATGACATCAAGAAGCTGTTCCGGTCCACCTAAGGGGAGATACTTGAAAACATTCATTTTAACAAGCCCGTTTCATTTACTAGCCATTGGATTTTGTTGTGAAGAGTTGCAACAGATCCCGCTGACTCTGGAGGCACAGGAGAAATGAACTCACTGGGGAAGAGTAAAGCCTCCTTCTCTCTCTCCTGTTGAGACTGTTACGATAAATATTAAAACTGCCAGGGGTTGGAGCAAAGAAGCAACAGCACCCCCTAGTGGCGGGTGTGCTCAGTCCCTCTAGTAAAACAAGAATGTTAGGCTCTGGAGTTAAACCACTTGGAAGCAGTGAGAAACACCGAATCTTCTGAGGTTCCCAGTCAAGCGCTTGTTAAGCTGGTAAGTGCTCTAGGTGGTGTCTCCTTTTCCACTGAAGTGTCACTGTGTGAACAGTGAAAAATGACTTTCAGGCAATGCCTTCTCCAAATCAGTATTTCAGCAAAATAATGATTGTTAAATGTTTTATCATTATACCTAATAAGACTCTGCCCATCTCTGCCAGCAACACTGTGAGCAAGATCTGTGACTGCCACGCACATCCTCACAGTATCACCCGGTTCCGCCAGACGAACGGATGGACAGAGAAGCAAACGAGCCTGTAGGAGAACCTTCACGATGCTTGTTCTAGCACACCCCCGAATGACACAATAACAGCAGCTAACAAAGTAAAATGAAATGGTTCAAAGTTTTATTTTTATTTTTTTTATTTTTTTATTTTTTTATTTTTTTATTTTTATTTTTAATATTTTTATTATTAAATGCAGTATTTAATTGCATTAAATACTGCAATTGGAGCACTAGTTTAAAGTGAGGTCGCTATTAGTAGCCTCTGTTGGCATCCAGTCCTTCCCATGGAAGTTGTTTAAGGTTGAAATGGAGTAAGAGATATTTATAGGGCTTCACACTCCTCTTTTAGACAGAAGTCATTGCCCCTGATAACATTACACATGACTTCCCTCCCTCCTTCCACCCCCCAAACAAAAATCCAGCTACCATCAGGAGGCAGTAAGACTGGTTTGTCTTAAGATTTTCAGTAGTGGAGGGCAGGTACTTGCTAAATGTAGGAGAAGGCCCCATTTGTTGGGGTGTCCAACTGCCATCTGGGATTTCCCATTCTCTGCGATGCACACGGTAGCAGCGGCCTGCAAGTCCCAGATACACGTCATCTGGTTCACGTCGGAATGATGTCGGACAGCCCTGAACAGGAAGACACGAAATGCGAAGATTTCCCTGGTTCCTTGCACAGGAAGGGTGCGTAGCAAAGGGCAAGGCCGTCTATTTATGCTACACTTAAAACCTGTGGTGCCTGCAAAGACGGTTGGGACTGTCTGGGGCCTTTTTGCTTTTCTTTTCCAGATCAAGCGTTCAGCATATTGTAGCCCTGAAATAAAAATTAATCAGTCTCAGGTAATACCAGTCTGCTCCATAATTTTAGGCGTTTCCTCCTTAAACTCCCTCTAACAGATGCAGTTTGATGTCAGATTCATCTTTACACACTCCACAGGCCACAAAGGAATGGAGAGTGAGCGGTAGAAAGAAGCAGAATCCTGAATCGTACAAACCCTTCAAATGCCTGTGAAAAAATCTTGGAAACAAGTGGTGTTCAGTCACAAACACATAAGTAGAAACTTCTTAAAAGAAGGAACTTTTCTAAGATCAATGAAGGGTACTGATTTATGTTTCAGTAGTAGAAAAATGTGCTCTAAGGGCAGAAAGTCTGGGTTCACATCTTAGGCAAGTTGCTTTGTTACTTTGATGCTCTTTCTTCCTTCCTTAAAAGGCAGAAATAATGTTGTTGAACTCACAGGGCTGTTACAGGAAGTGAGACCAAGGAAAGCAGTTAGCACTGTGCCTGGAGGATGGTAAGCTCAGCTCAATAAATGTGAGCTATTGTGCAAAAGATGAGAAACAACCCAAATGTGCCTCATTCATGGATGGGTTCAGTAAATGATAGTAGACAATTAAATGGAATCTTATACACTTATAAAAAATGAAGACATTCTCTATGCATTGATATGAAAAGATTTACAAAATATATTGTTAAGAAGAAAAAAGAAAGATACAGAACAGTAAGTTGCTTCAGGGTTAAAAGGAGGAAGGATGGGGAGAATATACATTTATATACGTTCACATTTTCATGAAGAAAGTCTGGAAGGACGCCCAGGGAACTAGCAAACACGTAGCCTGACTGGGCATGCATGCCAGAAGGGCGCTGGGTGAAAAGATGGACACAGGATGGATGAGAAAGGAGATGGGGCCAGGACTTTTTACCTTATAATGGTTTATATTTTAATGCACTAATGAACATATTACCTATTTAAAAATAAAACTTTGAACCATTTCATTTTACTTTGTTAGCTGCTGTTATTGTGTCATTCGGGGGTGTGCTAGAACAAGCATCGTGAAGGTTCTCCTACAGGTTCGTTTGCTTCTCTGTCCATCCGTTCGTCTGGCAGAACCGGGTGACACTGTGAGGATGTGCGTGGCAGTCACAGATCTTGCTGAAGGGCTTCGTGAAAGGCTGGCCTGGCGGCAAGGCAGGCCTAGGGATGCAAAGATGTCCACTTTAGGGACTGCTGGTACAGGTCCTCGATTTTTTATGTGGCCACGTTTTTAAATGCACGCTCTTCCAGAGTGAGCATTTGAGTGAAGTGCACTGATCGCGTGCGTTTACACATACACGAAGATGTATGAAGTTACTCAGACTCACGCAGAGATTAGTTTCACTATCTTCTTGCTCCTTCTTAAGCTTCTGTTAGTGTGTGGGCCTGCTTTCTGGGAGAAAGGACCGTATTTTTAGGACTATAAGACACATAGGACCATAAGACACCTAGGTTTTAGAGGAGGAAAATAGGGAAAAATTTTTGAAGCAAAAAATGTGGTAAAA